TGTGCTGTCCAAGCTGCTGCTGGCCCGGCCGGCCATGGAGGCCATCATCCGCACCGACATGGACCAGATCATCACCTCCAAGGAGCACCTGGCCAGCAAGATCCGAGGTGGGCGCCTCCCGCCGTCCGTGAGGGTCTTCCTCCGGCCCCCGGCGCCGGCCGCCATGGGTCCATCTGCTTTTCACACCAATGACTTGATTCGTTGATTGCTTGAAAAATGGAAACCAAAGCTGAGCCACTGCTTTTCCAAGCTGTTTCCAGACACCCAGGCCCGGGAGGGCTAAATGTTGTCAAGGAGGCTGAGCCCTCGGGCGATCATGGCCTCTCACCACGTGTGATTTTCACAGACCTCGGCCTGGCTCGGGGACCATTCACTTCCATCCAGTCTAGCTTTTCCGTCACTTTATGCTCCTTTCTGTCCCCCAGGTGGGACCCTTTCCCTCCCTTGTCACCATAACAACGCGGCCTGAGTCCTTCACGGGCTGTGTCACTGGGAGGGGGACAGGCCCCCGGGAGGTGCCGCTGGTTCTGTGGAACCACCGTGAGCTGGGCAGCGGGGGGGAGGGCGTCAGAGCCCCCGGGTGGGGTCACGGCCTTCCGCACGGCCACTGAGGCAGCCACGTCATGCCAGAGCAGGGCCGGGCTCAGCCTTTGCAAAGCCCAGAGGCTCACTGGATCTACTGAAGTATTTTTCTTTCTTTCTTCTTTTATTTGTTTTTTATTTATTTATTTTGTGTGTGTGTGTGTGTGTGTGTGTGTTTAAAAATATATTTTATTGATTCTTTCACAGAGAGGAAGGGAGAGAGATAGAGAGCCAGAAATGTTGATGAGAGAGAAACATCGACCAGTCGCCTCCTGCACACCCCCTACCGGGGATGTGCCCGCAGCCAATGTACATGCCCTTGACCGGAATCGAACCCGGGACCTTTCAGTCTGCAGACCGACACTCTACCACGGAGCCAAACCAGCTTTGGCTCTTTCTTTTTTTTAAAACCAAAGAGCAAGGCCCAAAGGGGTTCTCTCCCTCCTCCGCCTAACGGGGACGGCCAGCACCTCGGGCCGCAGTCCTCTCCGTCTCTCACCACCGCTTCAGAGAGACGAGGGGCCGCCTCAGAGCCCCCTGTCCACTTGGCTCCATCCATGTGTGTCTTTACTGTCTCTGGAGTCATTGCTTGTTGCTTTGGTTTCTTTAAAAAACACACACACAACACCCCACAGCCTGCTTCCAGGGGCTGGGCGGGCGGGGAGTGAGTGCCTGGGCCTCGCTAACCGGCTCCCTCCGCGCAGCCTTCATCCTCCCCAAGGCGGAGATCTGCGTGCGGAACCACGTGCAGCCCTACATCTCCTCCATCCTGGAGGCCCTCATGGTGCCCACCAGCCAGGGCTTCACCGAGGTGCGGGACGTTTTCTTCAAGGAGGTCACCGACATGAACCTGAACGTCATCAACGAGGGCGGGGTCGACAAGCTGGGCGAGGTGAGGGGCCGGGCACAGCGGGCTGGGGCTGCTGGGGGCCGGCATCGGAGGATAAGGGGACTCCCCCCCCCCCGCCCCCAGCCTTTATAAGCCGAGTGGGTTGTAAAACAGCAAAGACCAGAGAAGGGAGGGAGGAAAGGAGGAAAGGATGGGAGAGGGGAGGAGAGGAGGAAGGAAAGGCAAGCTGCAGAGACGAGGCGTGGGTTGTCAAGGTAGAAGTAGGTACGGCGAGCCATTCGTGTGCCCCGCGCACAGACGGCCCAGCTCTCCCTGCCCCTCAGTTGTCTGGTTCTTGGGGCGAATGCCTTCACAGACCCCGTTCTGAGTACTCGGCTGCCTGGAGCCCACGTGGCTGTCAGGTGAAGAGAGAGATCCTATCTTAGCCTCCTCTCTACCTTAAATTGGAGAGTCTACGGACGACATCACCATGGAGTCTGAGAACCAGAAAGGAACTTAGAGGTCAGGAGGAGCCGTCGGACTCTAAGGCTGAGGAACCTGAGGCTCAGAGAGGCCGAGTGCCCTGGCCCAGGTCCCCCAGCGCCCAGGAGGGAACAGGACCCAGCAGCTTCCAGGCTGTGCTGCTGGACCCCGTTCCTCCGGCTTCCGGTCCCCAGCCCCCAGGGTCGCGGCTCCGAGGGCCAGGCAAGGTGTGGGCCTGGGGGTGCCTGCCACGCAGGTGGCCCCCGCTCAGGTCCCACCCCCCCCTACTTCCCCGCAGTACATGGAGAAGCTGTCCCAGCTGGCGTACCACCCGCTCAAGATGCAGAGCTGCTACGAGAAGATGGAGCCTCTGCGGCTGGACGGGCTGCAGCAGCGCTTCGACGTGTCCAGCACATCCGTGTTCAAGCAGCGAGCCCAGATCCACATGCGTGAGGTGGGCCAGAGGCTGCTCCCGCCCACCCCTCGGCCCTCTCCCTCCCACAGCCCCCATCTCCCGGGAGAGCCCCCACCCCGGGCCCACCCTCCTCTCCTGCGCCCGGCACCCACGCCCGCCCGTGTGTTTGGAGCACCTGCCTCTGCTCACCTGGCTAATTGGAACTCACCTTTCAGTCTCAGCTTAGAGACCCTCCCTCCGTGCAGCCCTCCTTACCTTACTCCCAAGCCCTTCCTGCAGGGCCCAGAGCCTGTTTCCTCTGTCCCTGAGGCGGGGCCTGCTCGGGCCCAGCCCTGTGCCAGCACACATGGGCACAGTGATGCTGGGAGGCGGGAGTGCAGTGAGCGCCACGCCGCCCGCTCCTCCGGCGAGCTGGGGACAGCTGGCGGAGGCCCCTGGGAGGCCGCAGCGGTCACTCGGGGCCTGAGGTCACTCGGGCCTTCACGTGTCCCCTGGTTGTCCCACAGCAAATGGACAACGCCGTGTACACCTTCGAGACCCTCCTGCACCAGGAGCTGGGGAAGGGGCCCACCAAGGAGGAGCTGTGCAAGTCCATCCAGCGGATCCTGGAGCGGGTGCTGAAGGTGAGGGGTCAGCCCGGCTCCGGCCTGTCCCACGCGTGGCCGAGCCTGAGCCCGGGCCCTGGGCTGGCACCACGATGGCCGCCCCGAAGGGAGGCGCCACCACCCTCTTGTACAAATGGGGACGCAGAGGCTGAGGCCAGACCGCCAGCCTCCCACCCTCCTGCCAGGGCCCGGGGCCGCCGGCTCAGAGCCCCCCCCTCTCTCCCGGCAGAAATACGACTACGACAGCAGCTCCGTGCGGAAGCGCTTCTTCCGGGAGGCGCTGCTGCAGATCACCATCCCCTTCCTGCTCAAGAAGCTGGCCCCCACCTGCAAGTCGGTGAGCAGCCCGGCCCCTCAGCCCCTCCCACAGCCCCCTCAGCCCCTCCCACAGCCCCCTCAGCCCTCCCCACAGCCCCCCCACCCCCTCAGCCCCTCCCACAGCCCCCTCAGCCCCGGGGCCCCCTCAGCCCTCCCCACAGCCCCCCCCCCACACCATCCTCAGCCCCTCCCACAGCCCCCTCAGCCCCGGGGCCTCCTCAGCCCTCCCCACAGCCCCCCCACCCCCTCAGCCCCTCCCACAGCCCCCTCAGCCCTCCCCACAGCCCCCCCCACACCACCCTCAGTCCCTCCCACAGCCCCCTCAGCCCCGGGGCCCCCTCAGCCCTCCCCACAGCCCCCCCACCCCCTCAGCCCCTCCCACAGCCCCCTCAGCCCCTCCCACAGCCCCCTCAGCCCCTCCCACAGCCCCCTCAGCCCCTCCCACAGGCCCCTCAGCCCCGGGGCCCCCTCAGCCCTCCCTACAGCCCCCCCACCCCCACAGCCCCTCCCACAGCCCCCTCAGCCCTCCCCACAGCCCCCCCCACACCACCCTCAGTCCCTCCCACAGCCCCCTCAGCCCCTCTCACAGCCCCCTCAGCCCCTCCCACAGCCCCCTCAGCCCCGGGGCCTCCTCAGCCCTCCCCACAGCCCCCCCACCCCCTCAGCCCCTCCCACAGCCCCCTCAGCCCCTCTCACAGCCCCCTCAGCCCCGGGGCCCCCTCAGCCCTCCCCACAGCCCCCCTACCCCCTCAGCCCCTCCCACAGCCCCCTCAGCCCCTCCCACAGCCCCCTCAGCCCCGGGGCCCCCTCAGCCCTCCCCACAGCCCCCCTACCCCCTCAGCCCCTCCCACAGCCCCCTCAGCCCTCCCCACAGCCCCCCCACACACCACCCTCAGTCCCTCCCACAGCCCCCTCAGCCCCAGGCCCCCTCAGCCCTCCCCACAGCCCCCCCACCCCCCTCAGCCCCTCCCACAGCCCCCTCAGCCCTCCCCACAGCCCCCCCACCCCCCTCAGCCCCTCCCACAGCCCCCCTCTCCAGGTCCCGGGAGCGGAGCCAGCCTGACCAGCGCCCGGGCCGGTGGGATCCGCGGACCCTCTGCCGCCGCCAGGCCCTGACTGCCCCGCCACCCCCTGCCCGCCTCTCCTCGCAGGAGCTGCCCCGGTTCCAGGAGCTGATCTTCGAGGACTTTGCCAGGTTTATCCTGGTGGAGAACACGTACGAGGAGGTGGTGCTGCAGACGGTCATGAAGGACATCCTGCAGGGTTCGTGCCAGCCCCGGGGGAGGGGGGGGGCGCTGGGAGCAGGGGTGGGGGTGGGGGCAGCCATCCCCACCTGCGCTGTGCCGGGTGGGATTCTTATTGCCAGGAGGGTGATGGAGGAGGCCGCCCAGAGGCCTTTCTCGTGGGGCCAGTGAGCTGCAGAGACAATCACGAGGTGTCATGAGGTGTCGGCCTGTGGGCTGTGCAGCCACAGGGGGGCAGCGCCCAGTCTCTGTGCCTTAGTTTCGGGGGGTGTCAGATGAGTGACGGGGTGGCACGGTGGTTGCCAGCTTGGGCTCTGGGTGAGGGTCACGGCTCCTCCTTCCTAGCAGTGAGGCCTGGAACGAGTCCCGGCCCAGGGACAGCACCCCGCAGGCCGTGGGAGCCTCTGGGGGTGATGCTGGCCGCACCTGGGCACCGTGGAGGGGGGTGGTGTGTCCCCGGGCACATGTGCTCACGCCACCCGTTGGCCCCGCAGCCGTGAAGGAGGCCGCGGTGCAGCGGAAGCACAACCTGTACCGGGACAGCGTGGTCCTGCACAACAGCGACCCCAACCTGCACCTGCTGGCCGAGGGCTCGCCCATCAACTGGGGCGAGGAGTACGGCGGCGGCGGCGGCGGCGGCGGCGGCGGGGGCGGCGGCAGCCCCGGCCCCCGGGCCCCGGAGGCGGCCACCCTCTCGGAGAAGCGGCGGCGCGCCAAGCAGGTGGTGTCCGTGGTCCAGGACGAGGAGGCGGGGCTGCCCTTCGAGGTTGGCCGCGAGCCACCATCCCCGGCGTCCCCGGACAGTGTCACCGAGGTCCGGGACCTGCTGGCCCAGGATCGTGGGGCCGAGAGCCCCCCGCCGGCCTGCCCCCTGCTCAACGGGGCCCCCTTGCCCGCGACCCCTGCGCCCTCATCACCTCCGCCCGCCTCGCCGCCCGCAGCCTCCTCGCCGCCTGCAGCCTCGCCGCGGGCCTCGCCCCTCCAGCAGCTCCCGCCTGGCAAGGCCGTGGACCTTGAGCCTCCAAAGCCCAACGACCAGGAGACCGGGGAGCAGGAGTCTGGCCCCGGGGGCCGGCCCCCCATCCACACCACCACCGAGGACAGCGCCGGGGTGCAGACTGAGTTCTAGGCCGGTCGCCCCCAACTTCTGTTGGACACGGCACAAGGCCCCTCCCCGAGGCACCGGCAAGCTTGGCTCCTGGGATTTGGATTCGTGCCTCCGGGCGGGGGTGGGGCGGGGCTGGTGCGGCTCCCGGGCTGAGCAGGGACAGGCCCGCCTGAAGTCACTTTATGGGGTTTGTCATACTTCGTTGCTGTCTTCTCTTCTGTGGGGTGATCTCGGCTTTCCTGCTTGGCTAGGGGTTGAGCAAAGCTGAGGGTCCTGGGGAGCACCGGTTCTCTTGGTCCTCCCTTCCTGCCTTTCCTCGTTGGCCCGTTTCCCTAAAGGGTCTTGCTATCCTGGCGAAGAGGGAGGTAAAGGCATTGTCTGCTGACTCAGAGCCCACGGGTCTCCTCCCCTCTCATCAAGGGCTCGTTGGAACCGGGAACATGGAGCGTCCAGGCCCGGCCCTGGGCCCCCTCCCCTCTGCTCTCCCAGGCGGATGGGGCCTGGCTTTCCCCACCGGGTGAGGGGAAGCGCAAGGCAGGTCCTCAGGCCAGAGCCAGGCTGGAGGGTGGGGGGAGGGGCCACACGCCTGGGGCTGAAGCGGGAAAGGCTTGGAATGTGCTGGTCTGGGGCAAGGAAGTGTCTGAGGGCAGGAAAAGGGCAGGAAAGAATGAGCCATGCAAGTAGGAGGCCAGAGGGCAGAGGTTGCTGGAGGCTGGGCTGGCCTGAGGCAGGGTTAGCCGATGTGGATTGTCTTCCCAGGGCCACCTCCAAGGTACAGCTGTCTGCCGCGGGAGCTCAGGGCTCCTGAGGGTCACGGCTCCCGAGCACCACTGGTCGCCGCTCTGAGGGCTTGGGGTCAGGCTGTGGCTCGGCCCTTGCTGCCTGAGTCCCCAAATCACCTCAGCCTGAACATTCCAGGCCTTTTTCAAATGTGAGTCACTGGGGGCCCAACTGTCCTCAGCCCCGTTCCTGGGGGTGAGGGTCAGGCTGAGGCAACCCCCAGCCTGGCAGTTCCAGGCCCCGCCCCTGCTGCTTGGATGAGAGGGTCCTCGGGGTGGGGCCCCCAATCCTGCACCCTCCCTCGATCTGCTTTCCGGGGCCCGGGCCTTGGACCCCAGGGTGGATGGCAGTGGTTGGTGCAAGTGCCCCCACCCCGCAGCCGGAAGTTCAAACACCTCACCAAACCTCTACCAACACATTCCGTCTTAAGATGCCCTCCTCTAGTGCCTTCTTTTGGGGTTTTCCAGTCATTCCTCCCAAACATTGTATTGAAAACATTAAGCGAACTGTTCAAGCTTCTACTAATCAATAAATGCTTTATTTAAAGCCGGTGGCTCTGTGTGGTGCTGGTGGGAGGCCTGGCCAGAGACTGGCTTTCTGGCTCACTTGCCCAAGGACCTCCAGGTCAGAGTCCTCACTCAGCTCACCCTATTGGACAGAGGAGGAAACAGGCTCAGAGGGAAGACTGCCTGCCTGCAGCTGCGCTTCCTCAGCTCGGTCTGGGCGGGGTGTCCTCCCGGCAGTTTTAAGGCCCCGTGGCCGTGGGGCACCTACAGCTGGGTTGGGCCTCCGGCTCATGCTGGACCCAAACAACGATGCTATGTTTGCGAGACTCCTGACCACACGGCGCCTGCTGTGGGCTGGCACCTTCCAGGACCAGAGCCTGGCAGCAGCTCCAGCATGCGGTGCCATCATCACCATGTCACCAATGCATAAGCTGAGGTTGGGGGACCCCCCACCACACACACACACACACACACACAACTGGTGGGTCGGCTGCCTCCTCCATGGGTAAAGACACGTTCCTCCTGGGTAGATGGCAGCGTCACTGTGGCGGATGTTGGTTTCCATGGTGGCCAGGGGCTGCGGGCTCGTCCACGAGGGCTGGGTGTGGAACAGCAGGGGCTGTGGGCGCCGTCCTCAGCGAGTCACTAATTCCACCTCAGGCGCCTCGCCTGTACCAGGGGAATCGCCAGTCCGTTCTCCCAGGACAAACGTGCCCTGCAGAGTGGCTCTGCCCACCTCAGGCCTCCGCCTCCCCACTTGACCAGGGGAGCCAGCAGGGTGAGTGGGGAGGGGGAGGGAGGCAGGCATCGCGGGAAGAGGCCCCAGCTCCCCCCTGGAAAACGGGACTCACACAAGGAGCCTTTGTCCATTTCAGCCCACAGGACTGATGGACGGTCCCAAGAGGGAGGGGAACTGAGGCCCAGAGCTCTTTCTGCCACCCCAGGCCTGTCCCCTGCGTCCACTTGGCTCTGGGCACTGCCCCTGGGGTGACCATCAGTCTCCATCAGGGCCTGTCATGCCCAGCATTGGACGGGTGGGAAATAGGACGGAAAGTGGCCAGGTCCATGGGGGACAGCTAGCGGCAGAGCCCAGGCACCTGAGCCGGCCTGCCTCCAGCCCAGAAACAGCTCTGCCTGTGGCTCAAAACCATTTGCCAGAAAAGGCACAATAGCATGTAACTCTACAGCCAGAACAAGGTGCCCGCTCCTGGGACTGCAATGAACAGCCCGCACCGCCCTCTCCTAGCTGCAGGTCCCGGGCACCAGCCCCTCAGCCGGGCTCCCTGGTCGGGAATAACCACAGCTTGGGCCTGACACAGCGCCACCTGCTCCGCTGACGCCTGTGCCCTTCTGCCTGAGCCGTTTCTCCACTTTGCGGAACTTCACGTTGGGGAATGACTCTGCTCCTCCCTTTCCTTCTGACAGAGGTGCAGCCCTCCCTGACCCCACCCGGTCCCAGGACTCCCCTCCATCAGGACCAGTGATGACGCGAAGCAGCGGGCTGGGAGTGGGTTTATTGGCAGTCCTGCTTTGGGTCTGCAAAGCTCATCGCCTGCCCTTGGGCCGCATTGAGAGAGGTGGTGCAGGTCCGGAGAGCCGAGGGGCAGATCTGGAGAGCGCTGGGGGCAGCAGTGAGGAGGCAAGCAGGGGCACAGGCCCGCACTGACCACATTCCCGCCGCTCGGACAGCCTGTGGCGGCCTGTGGCCTCTCCTCCTCCCATCAGGGCCCTTGGCTCCCCCCCCCTGCGGCATGGGGCAGCACTGTCTGCTCCCCTGACAACACCGAGGCTCCTGGAGGGACGGGGCCTGCCAGAGTCGGCTGGGGAGGGCGGAGCACACGGGCCAGGACACTCAGTCCCGTGCGCAGAGGGTGCCACCGCTGCCCTCCACACCCTCCCCAGTCCCAGAGGGCTCCCTTTCCACAGTGCGCAGGTCATCTGCTAGAAACGCTCGCTTCTGCCCGGCCGGCTGGCCAGCTTCTTGGAGATCAGGGGGGCGCCCTCCTGGGCTGTAGGGTGGGGCCTCACTGGTCTGGGGAGAGCAGGGTGAGCTGGAGCCCTGGGCCTGCAGGTGTGGCCGTGAGCCGGAGGGCCAGGGGCCAGGCGGGCGCTCAGCTGCTGTGGTAGATCCGGAGGCGCTGGGCGATCTCCTGGCGGCACAGCGGGCAGGTGCGCAGCGGCTGGCAGCACTGCAGGCAGCAGCAGACGTGGCCGCAGTTGAGGAAGATCATCTGGGCCTGCGGAGAAAGGGAGCGTCTGGGCTCTGCTGCTGGTGTTCCGAACCCTCAACCATCCAGGAACACGCCACCCAGCAGGTGAACATCTAGACCTGCCTCTGCTGGCCGACTGGCCCTCCTCCATGTTTTGTTAACAATCTATACGTGCCCGGGAGCCCCGCCCCTCTTTCTAATATGAAACTGGATTACATGCTCCATGTTTTACTACTTGCCTGCCACCCTCCCTCGGGGAGCCCTCTGCTGGACGTGAAGGCTGTTCCCAATTTTTGTTGTGTGTGCACTTGCCCAGCCCCCAGTCTAACAGCAATTCCGATTACGGCCTAGAAGCCACGTCTACGCTTTGCGTCAGTGTTTCCTCCTTTCAGGAACTGACCAAGGCAACAGTCAAGGTGTGCTCCCACCTCGTTCCAGGCTACGCAGCTCAGCACTGTTAGTAATAATGAAATTGGAAGCCAACCTATGGGGCCCCAAAGCAAGAATTTGGTTAAATTTATAACCAACAAATTCTTCCACATCACGCCTCCCCCGGTGTATGGTGAAGACAAAGGGAAATCAAATGCCCTAACACGGCCGCCTTTTCTAAGTAGGATCGCACGGTGGAGGGAGGGTGAGCTTTAATTTTATATGCTGTGTTGTGTATGGAACCATAAAAGACCCCAAACAGCCACAGCAATCTTGGGAAAGAAGAATGAAGTAGGAGGGATCATAATACCAGATATCAAAATATACTACAGAGCCATTCTAAGCAAAACAGCCTGGTACTGGCACAGAACAGGCGTATAGACCAATGGATCAGAACAGAGACTCCAGAAATTGGCCCACACTCCAGAAATTAGGCAAATTAATACCTGACAAAGGAGGCAAGAACATACAATGGAGTAAAGACAGTCTCTTCAACAAATGGTGGGAAAACCGGACAGACACATTCAAAAAAGATGAAACTAAACCACCAACTTACACCATCCACAAGAATAAACTCAAGACGGATGAAGCCCTTAAATGTAAGCCATGAAACCATAAAAATCAAATACCCCAAGTAGGGAGGCATGGGACAGACTGACATACCTCCATGTGGGGTTGGGGAGACGAGAAGAGATCAACCAAAGAACTTAGATACTTACCCTGGGGGGATGGGTAATGGCTGGGAGGAAGGGAAAGGGAGGAAAATGGGAGACAACCGTAATACTGCCAGCAATAAAAAATATATTAAAAACCTTCTGGGGGGGAAAAAACCATAAAAATATTTACATGCTGTGTTGTTTAATTTTTACAATAAGAGAGAATGTTGTAATGGTTTTTTAAAAAGACGGTTTTAAAATAGCCTCTTCAGAGATAATTGTGTTGTTGATATTTAAGGACTTGAGAAATTTTCCTTAATGTATTTGTTAAGTAGGCAAAACACCCTCTTTGAAAAAAAAAAAAAAAAGTTCCAGAAAATGATGCTAGCATTGCTCATATTTGGGTCATAGGATCATGGGTCACTTTTATTTCCTGTGTTTTCCACAGTTTCTAATGAGCACCAGACACTTATGTGGCTAGAGAAAGTGTTTGGGAAGACCACCCATGGGGAGGCCCGGATGGCCGCAGGCAGGCAGGGGGCCGCTGGCGGGGGGCCAGCTCCTGCTCCACACTCACCTCCCGCTCCAGGCACACCACACACTCCGAGGCCTGCACCTCCAGCTCCGCGGGCGGCGCCGAGGGCTTCGAGGACTCAGGAAGCTCCTCAGGGGCCGTGGGCTCCAGGGCCCCGAGGGCCTCCGCCGGGGGTGGTTTCAGCAGTTCTGTGGGGACCAGGGAAAGGGGTGAGCCAGGGACTCTCCCAAGGACCCCAACCCCAAGGGCTGCCCCTAGCCCTGCCTGCCCCACCGGACACTGAGCTGGAAGGTGAGGGTGCTCTGATCTCAGAATGGGGCGGGAGAGGGGAGAGCACCTTACCACACACCCTCTCATTTCTCTTCTGAGTCTCCCGCCCCATCTGTAAATGGGGAGTGCTGGGACACAGGTGGGGTGGGGTGGGGGACACGCACTGGCTAATTGGGGTCTCTTACCCCTAACCACCCCTGGACCTTTAAGGGCCATCCTGCAAGTAGGGCTGTCACTTTCAGAGATGAGACATGAGCTCAGAGAGGGGGAGCTACTTGCCCAAGGCCACAGCGCCACCTGGTGGTGGAGTCACAGCACAGGAGCCCCTGGTTAGGGGCTCTGGGGCGGAGGAGCCTCCCCCTCATCTTCACCCAGAGGCCGGGTGACAGAGGAGCAGGAGCAGGGACAGGAGTGAGAAATCCCCACAGCTGCTCCCCGCAGCCCCTGGCAGGGCCCCCAGCGTGCCTACTGCTCTCCCCTGCAGCCAGCCGCCAGCCTGAAGCCAGACATCAGAATGGCCCTTCCACGGCAGTCTGATCATCACCCAGTGGGCACCACCGCCATCCCTGAGTCTGTCTTCAGCCCTGATCCCCACCCTGATCTCAGTTCCTGTGTTCCACTGATTCTGTGGTTTGACTTATAGTTGTTGTTTTTTTATAATTGGGGGGGGGGAAATTGAAGAATTTTCAAAGGTTATTACAACCCTAGACACTGTAACGGTATCAGGGTGCCCCAAGCCATCATGGTCAAGAGGCCCTTCTATACTTAATATTACAGATAAGGAGTCCTGAGAGCAATAAGAGAATTTCCTGGCCCTTCGGAGCGCAGAAGGAACCATCCCGCCACAGCCCCCTTCCTTGTGGGGTGGGCACAGCCAGGGCATCACACACGGCGGCAGGGACGTCCTGAGATGGGGATTAGCTCCGGGCAGGGAGCAGCTCCTGCTAGCTCTGGGTTGGAGGGAGACGGTGAGAGGTTTGGGATGCTGGAGGGACTCGGAGTGAAAGGTACCTGCAACTCCTGCTCCAGGGAGGCGTCTGCTATGGTGTCACCTTTGTTGCAACCCCATCAGGTGGGCACTGTTGTCATCCTAACATGTTTGCCAATGTTAGGGCGACCCCAAGTCTTGATGGCAAATTCTTCTGGACCTCCACTCCGAGTGGAGGCGGACATACATCTGGAGGGGGCTATTCTGCACAATACTTGATGCCAATAGGCTGAAGCTTATGACTTTTTCTACCCTGTTTCCCCGAAAATAAGACAGTGTCTTATATTAATTTTTGCTCCCAAGGATGCGCTAGGTCTTATTTTCAGGGGAAGTCTTATTTTTCCATGCGCTAGGTCTTATTTTCGGAGGATGTCTTATTTTCGGGGAAACACAGTAGGTAGAGTAAGTCCCTGATGTAAAATTGGCTGGAAAACTGGCATCTGCAGATGGCAAGGCCCTGCCATCAGCCCTGATATCTGGGGACCCAGCCAGGCAGCCCGAGTTCCTGCCCCGCCCCTTCGGTCTGGTCTGGCACCTCCACTTTAGCCTCTGTCCCAACGAGATCCTGCCCAAGGCTGGCCCTCCGTGGGCTTGCCCAGCCTGGCAGCCCGCCCTCTCCTTCATTCTTGTCCTAGGCCCCAGGCCTCCTTTCCTGAGGGGCAGCAAAGCCCAGGGGTTCGGCTGTTTGCCGGCTGTGTGATGTGAGAGACGAGCTAACCTCTCTCCGCCTGTTTCCTCACCCCTCAACTGAGGATAACAATGCCCACCTGATGGGGTGGAACCAGGTGACACACATGGTACACGTGATATGGCTGGCAACCGCCTGGCACCTGGACCATGCTCGGCACACAGGAGACCCGGTTTCCATGCCTGCCCTCCTCGGTACTGCTCTCTCCTGGCCTCTATGACCTGCACTTACCCTCACACCATCACAGACACCCTCCCAGACGCCCTGCCAGTGCTGGCCCTGGATTCAGCTGGTTTCTCCTTGATTCCAAGGACCGGGTGTGTGGTTCCGTGTCTGTGGGGTGGGTTTAGGAAAGGCCACGGGACAGGGAGCCGAGGGCCCTGAAATGCTGCAAGGAAACTCCCGTTTTTGTGCCTGTTTTTCTCGTGTGTGTCCTGTTCCTTTAAGGAAGGAACCTTAAGGACTAGCGGGGGCTAGACCCAGCCTTTAGGGCCCCACCTGAAAAGTAACCACAGTCCACACGCCAGTTTGGCGTCGGTACCTGGCTGGATCCTGGCCGCGTCCAGCAGCTCCCGGGCTTTCCGCAGGATCTCGTGCTGCAGGCCAGCTTCTGAGACTCCCACCTGCGGAGTCCAAGGAGAGCAGACTGTGCCTGGGCTGGGCCGGAGCCGGCCACACAGCACAGAGCCACGGGGCCGCCTCACTCCCGCCTCACACCTTCAGCCAGGGCGCCCTGCGATATTGGCTAATGCAGACCTCACCAAGAATGGCAAGAAGAGCAAGCGACCGTGGTCAGATTGGGCCCGTGGCCCGGCGCTGCGCTAACCTTCCCCGAGAGGCTGCCCACCTTGGCCAGGTCCTCCAGGCTCATCCGGCTCAGCATGTCCAGCGAGATGCGGTGATGGGCAAAGATGGGCAGATAGTGCTCGGCGGACAGCTCCACCAGCAGGGCTGCCAGCGGGCGCTCCATGCCCTCCTCCTGCGCAGGCAGAGGCGCGGCCACCGAGAATGGGAAGAGAAGCAAGAAGCCATTATTTACATCAGCGAACAAAGGGTGTGAATATATCTAACCCAAGTGTCAAAGGCATTCTTGGAACTTTTCCTACAAAAACGCATGTGTAAGCACAGAGATGGATGTGCAGGAAGTCACTGTCGCTCTCTTTGTGAACTTGAAGTGCCATGGGGAGGGGGCTGCTTCAGTAAACGAGGGCCATCCTTATGCTACCCGGTATGCAGCTGCCGGGAAACAATGCGGACTCTACATGTCCAGGCCTGGACAGCTGCCCATCACAGCTAAGAGGAAAAAGAAGCTGCCAAACAGTATGTTCTAGAAAGACTCCATTTTTACTTAACGTTAAAAAAAGTGTTGTGGCCAAAACCGGTTTGGCTCAGTGGATAGAGCGTCGGTCTGCGGACCGAAAGGTCTCGGGTTCGATTCCGGTCAAGGGCATGTACCTTGGTTGCGGGCACATCCCCAGTAGGAGGTGTGCAGGAGGCAGCTGATCGATGATTCTCTCTCATCGATGTTTCTAACTCTCTATCCCTCTCTCTTCCTCTCTGTAAAAAAATCAATAAAATATATTTTAAAAAAAGAAGAAGTGTTGTTGGGGGAGAGAGAGGACATAGAGACGGAGACAGGACCACATCTGGCTTGTCCACGCAGGTGCCCGGCGACAGCACTGTCGCCAACTGCGCTGGCGTGCACAGAGCGCTGGCAGCTGCCTGCCCCTCCCCAGAGCGAACCCTCCCTCCCGCTCCTGTGCCCCGGGGTCCGGCCGCCAGAAGTGCGAACGGATGCAGCCGGAAAGGTCGAGCGGCCGCGTGTCCCCGAGGCCCCGGTGCGGGCAGCGTCACCGGGCCGTACCTGCAGCTTCAGGGACAAGGGCTTCTGGTTCAACAGCCGTTGGTACTGAATCAGCCAGTAATTCTCCTGCTTGGTTTCACTTTTGGCTTCTAACTCCGTCTGCCAGAACGAAGGTGATGCTGTTAGTTAGAAAGCGGTAAGTAAACATGATGATGATGCTGATGACTGAATGGTGCTCCTCTGAGCGTGTGGACATAGGAACAGGCACCTCCTCAGTCCCCCTTTGGACCTGAGTGCCCTTTGGTGGTCACTCCCGGGCCTTGCCTAGCTGGCTCCCCGCTCCTGGCCTGGGCGGTGGACGCACCTTTCTTCTGGAACCTGTGGCCCTGAACTTCATGTTCTGCTGAGTCCCTAGATGGCCCTTGAGGGCAGGAACCCAGGGCCAAGTATATGGCTGCTTCTGCACCATCCACATTGCTACAATCTGTACACAGTGCAGCTGGGCTTCTGGAGGGAAGGCACCTTCTGATTGGCACAAGCATGGCATTGGGGCTTGCGCCGGGCTCGGAAACTTTGGAGCTGGTCTCAGGCTCCTCTGAACCCTGCACGGGCCTGCTCCCGGAGCCTAGAGGGGCCTGGAGCTCAGAGGCGCCTGGAGCAGTGCTGACACCAGGCAAGTGCCTCGGTCCTCCAGCCCCAGCTGGTGGGCCGGCCTCCGTCCTCACCACTCACGTGCACTTGGGATGTGGAGGACGCGACCTGGCTGCCACCTAAATGCAGCTCTGCCACCCTAACGATGTGCCAGCGCGAAACCCGTGTGGGAACAGGGGGCAACTGGGTAATTCCTGTCAAAGGCTTATTCAAGTCCTCTCCTGGGCTCGGCTGTTCTCAAATACTGAGCTGCAAAGACGGACAGAGAGCACTGCCTATGCAAGTCAAGAACGGGAAGCAATCTATATAATATATGCTCAACAGGCCGAATGACGGCCTATCCCAATGCAGCCGCAACCAGAACGCGGAGATATTCCGGTGACACGGGAAGAACGGGTGAAAGCGAGCGGGTCGCCCGGGGTTCTGCGCTGTTGGACGTGGAAGCACGTGCACACGCAGCCGCAAAGGAGCGCCACAGCGTTTGGGAAGTGTACATCAGACTGTTAGCAACAGACAGCTCTCAGAGGGGAGACTCTTTTCCTTTGCTCTTCCATTTCCCTACGATGACCAAGACTTGAGGGACAGAAATGCTCTTAAGAATGACAAGCGTGCGGAGGGCAGTCAAACCCGTGTTCGGTGCCGACGCCGAAGCCCCACACACCAGGATGGCCCGGAGCTCCTCCTCGCGCTGCGTCTTCTCTTTGAGCAGCTGCTGGAGCAGGGAGCTGAGGGCCCAGCGCTGCTCTGCGACCATCTCCTGCAACACAAGAGCGCACCCAGTGCCGCCGGAAGCCGCAGCAGGCCTGGCGCCGCAAGTCCCGGGGCACGGCGGCGGGATCCCCCTCACCGAGTTCTCCGCAGCCGGGGCTCACGGAGGGCTGCCTCGGCTCACGTCTCTCTGCCCACGATCTCAGGCTGAGAATTACGGGGCAGAGCTGAGGGGCCCCTCTGCCGGGCCTCCCCTCCCCACCTGCTCCTAAGCCGGCCCCTCCCTCCCCTGTGGGGCTAAGGCCAGGCATGGAATCTCATGACTGATGTGGGTGGAGTGGTAAGAAACAGCAAACAAAGGAAATGACAAGCCGTGGGCACCCGACCTCCTCTCACTGACCCCACAGCACGTGGGGGAGGTGCGTGGCGGGCGGGCTGTCAGCCCGTCACCCCAAGTCTGGAAGGCTCTACGGGGATGGAGGTGCATGCAAACTGGAGCAGAGCCCTTGCGTGTGTCCGGGTTCCACTCATCTCTTTCCTTGGATATCCCGTGGAGTCCCCCAAAATGGGCGCCCACTAGCTCGAACGGGCGTGAGACAAGGGCACCTGCGCTGAGAGCTCAGCCGCTCCTCTCTGAACACCCTTTCCAGCTCACACTGCACTCTCCCTCTGCAGCTCACCCTCTCTCGGGGCCCGACACAGGCTGGGCCGGAAGATCACTTCCCTTGTATGGAGGGGAGAGCCGGAGGCCCAGGGAGGAGAAGTGACCCGCCCGAGGTCACACAGCACATCCGTGGCGGACCTCAGACCAAGACTCCCGACCCTGGTGTTCCTTCCCTGCACGGAGAAGCCGGGAGACAACCTCGGACGGCCCCCGAGCACAGACGGCTCTGCTCAAGGCCTGGGATGGGGCACACGTCCTCACCACCACGGACACGGCCTTCTGTGGACCACCAGACTGAGGTGCGGGGAAGGGAAAGGGCCGCCCCTCTCCCTCCCACCCAGGTCACACGGCGGGACTGCGCTGGACAGAACCCAGGTCCCAGCCTTACAGGCCAGTCCCTGCGGCCCCTTCTCTGTGAGCAGGACAGCAGGCCGAGGTCGCAGAGAAGCTGCCTGCAGGGAGCGGCGCAGCAACGGCTGGGCCCTCTCCTCCGGACATCCCTGCGACACCAAGAAAGCTCCTTCCCCAGAGGATGTCAGCCCGTGAGTGGAACCAGCACCCCAGAAGCATGGCTTAAAGAGACAGGGAGCTCAGCGGCAACCCCGCTCCAAAACAAAGAAAAATGGAGATGCAGATGTCACCTGGTGAGCCTTGGCAATGAAACCCTCCTTCCTCTGACCCTCCTGCCCTAGGCTTGCCTGTGCTCCCATCAGCCTTCGGGGATTGGGGCGCCCTCCAAGGTCACAGCCACGGAGGAGACCTGTCCGGCTTACTGGAGAGGTGATGGGGCACCAGGTGGGAATTCACGGGGTGCGGGGGAGGGACCGGGCAGGCCAGGGAGCCCTACATACCTGTAGTGCCTCTGTGTCCAGGGATTTCCTCTTTAACTCCAGCTGTGTCAGCTGCAATAACTCAGTTTCTATTAACTTAATCTAAACAGAAGATGAGACAGGGTTTTTTTTATGTACATTAACCATAGTTCAGTTCTGTGCCACTGCTCTCTGACGGCCAAGGCGGGGGGCGGGGGGGTCTGAGCATCTTTTCTGGGCATCTCTAGAATGAAGCGGCCCTGCATGCTTTGGGCAGGGGAGTGGACATGCCTGCTTGGTCAATACTGCTGACCAATTCTCTTGCTTCCTCTGCAGAGCTGTCCCGGACAGGAGCAGAGGGTCATGGCAGTGACTGAATAATAATAATAGGAGTATTAGATGATATTTATAGAGGATTCTGCATGCTAGGCCTGTGCTGGGCACTTTATATGTATCCGTTTGTCAATTCTCCTCTGGCTATTAGGAAGTTTTAATGCCTCCATTTTACAGACAAGGAAACTGAGGCTCAGAGAGGGTAAGTAACTTGCCTAACGACACAGAGCAGATACGTGAATGAGACTTTTCCCTGGCTGTGCCTTCTCAGGGTCTAAAGGGGAACAGCTGGCCTGGCGGGTCAAAACCACTCCCAGTGAGAATATTTAGGGGTCACTGCGCACCCCAGGGTGTGACTGGGGACTTTTAACCCTGCGGGTCTGACCCCACAGCCTGTGCCTCTGACCCTAAGTTCCTAGGTCCCCACCAACCCCTGGTCAGAGGAATGAGCTTCATGTCCGGCTATGTGGGATTGAAATTAAAGAGGGAAATAAAAAGGTAAGCTGGCATTGGCCAAAAAAGAAAAGAATCAAAAGGAAAAAACAGAAACATGCAGAATGTGGAATTCAGAGTGTTGAGGACGATGGATGAGCATTCCCACAGCCTGAAAGCTCACTTCCCCTCCAGCCCAGAGCCGCCTCACCCTCGGGAAGCCCGGAGCCAGCGGGCCCAGAGGCCACAGCGGGGGCTGCCCAAAGCCGGCCCCGGGCCAGCCTTGGCCCTCTCCTCCAGGCCAGCTGACGCCAGGCCCTCGCTGCCCCCTCAGGTGGGAAATCCAATCTGTCCCAGTTCAGAGCTGATGGGGACACTGGGGCTTGAGCCGGCTGCCTGCGGAGTGCTCAGCACAGAGGCTGCCCCTTCCCCACAGCCCTGGGCACCCACAGTGCTGCCTCGGGCACCTCCCAACAGCCAGTCCCTGACCGAGGATCTGGGAGGAAAGGGAGCTTCTGCGGAAGGCCTCCTGCTGAGCCGTGGAGGAGCCAGGATTCCACCGTAACTGCGGCCGGTCCAGCCGCCGCGGTGTCTCTGAAGGCTGACAAGTCAGGTCTAGAAGGGGGTCCACGACCCCCTCTCACCTGGTTCCTGATCTGCCGGTGCATCAGATCCCTCTTCACCTGGAGAGCCTCAAACGCAGCCTTCTGCATGGCGCTCTGCAACGAGACGGCTGTGAGCAGGGCCGGCCTCGCTCCCGGTGGGCGGCAGACCACAGCGGAGCGGACGGTGCCGCGGGCTCGGAGGGGAGCCCGGGCCTGCAGCGCTCTGTGGTGTGATTACAGAATGGCTATCACCCTACTCCCTGCCCTTTCAGTCCTCGTGATGGAGCCCCATGGAGTGGGTGCCAAAGGGAAAGGGGGGGCTTCTCTGGGTTTCAGTGACCAGATCCCCACCCAGAGGCCTCTCCCTGCCCCTCTTCCTGGTGGTTTGTACTAAATGCCCTAAGCATGTGGGGTCTCACATGGTATCTGGGACAGGGCTCCATGCAGAGTTCTGCCCCAGCGTGCCCTTCCTGTGCCCCTGCCCTCATGCCCTGGGCAAGGGCTTACCTCCTGCAGGATCTGGCTGATGGCTTTGTTCTGATCCATCTGCTGCCATGACAGAATCTGCTGGAACCGCTCATCCATTGCAGCCATGCTGCCACAAAGACAGCACATTCATTTACTCTCTCAACATTTTCTGAGCACCTACTATGTGCCAGGCACCTTGGAGGAGATCAAGATAAACCATTTATTCATTCAACAGTACTTATGGAGCGCCTGCTGGGGTCATGCTCCAGGCTGGGCAGTCTGTCTGAATCCCAGGGCCCGGAAGGAGGGGTCAGAGCCTGTGTCTGGGGGCGGGGAGACACCCACCCCTTTACCGGAATACCGCCTCCCAGTGAGCCAGCCGCTCGGGCCCTAAGGAAGCTGTCCTTCCTCCGCACTCGCATCTGCACTCCCCACCCCGGCGTTTCTCGCCCCGGGTCAGCTCTCAGCCCCCAGAACAAGTCTAGTGATTTTGGCACAAAAATCCAAACTTGCAACCTCATGTAGGTCCATGTTTGGGTACGTCTTGGCTTTGAGTTTGTTCAGAACAATCGCTGTTATTCACTGAACCCTATGTGGCATACATTATGCTCATTAGAGGCTCCAGCCATGTAGGGGAAGGTGCTGCTTTAGCTCCATTTTCCTGATAAGGAAATTGGGACTCAGAAAGGAAAAGCAACGCGCCCAAGACATCACAGTTACCAACAGAAGTGCGTGCGCCTAAGCACGACGTCACACACCAGGAGAGGGCGAGAGTCCACCTGAGGATGCAGGGGAGGCTGGCAGCTGCGCCCCCTGGAGGGGAGGAGACGCACAGGGCTACTGCCTGTCCCTGTCTGGGGCTGAGGCTCCTGAGCCTCAACTGGGCTTTTCTCACCTGGCTCTGCCGGACACCTGTGGCTCCCCCAACAGACACACCCACAGGGCCACGGGGAACTCGGAGAGCCACATCCAGAGTGGCTATCAGCATCGAAGGCACTCCCATCGCCGTCCCCCAGTGCACCCCGCCCCGACCTCTGCGGATCCTTGGCGATGATGAGTGTGAGTGCACCCTCGCCAGGAGCACCCCCCACTCTGCCTGGGTTGGAATCCTGGCTCTGCCAGCTGCTGGTTGTGTTTCCTTGGGCGTGTCACATGGCATCCCTGAGCCCAAGTTCAGATTGTAAAATGGAGTAGTCCTTTGGACATCCCGTAAGCTACTGCATGTCACGTGGCCGAGAGCCCGGCACACAGGAGGGCATGAGACGTGCTGGTGATTACAGACACCTCAGTGATGGTGGAGGTTTGGCTGCAGACCACCACAATCAAGGAAATGCTGCAAGGAAATGATTCACAAGAACCCCTGGCTGGTTTGGCTCAGTGGATAGAGCATCGGACTGTGGACTGAAGGGTCCCGGATTCGATTCTAGTCAAGGGAACATGCTCAGGTTGTGGGCTCAGTCCCCAGTTGGGGGCAGACAGAAGGCAGCTGGTCAATGATTCTCTCTTATCATTGATGTTTCTATCTCTCTTCCTTCCTCTCTGAAATTAAAAAAAAAAGATATATTAAAAAAAAAATTAGCCACAAGAACCTTGCATATATTAATGAGTTATGTTGGCATAACTGTAATCAATCAAGTGTACAATAGCATTATGTCTCAAAACACAATGTACATATTTGAATTAAAAAATTCTTTCTTGCTAAAACATGCTAACCATCTGAGCCTTTGGGAAAAATGGTGCCAACAGACTTGCTGGAGGATGGTTGCCACAAACTTTCAACTTGTAAAAAACACAGTATCTGTGGAGCACAATGAAACGAGGTGTTGTCACTTTGCCACATGGCATGAGGCCCAGCTAGAAAAGTCATGGAGACCAGCCACCACCTGCCTCTGATAGCATGGCTGAGGTTGGGGGGCAGGACAGGGAACTCCCTGGGCCCAGAGCCCGCTCCCCCAAATCCCTTCCTCTGGACACCTCTCCTTACCTTACCTGGAACAGGCCTGCTGGACCAAGTTCTGCCTCTGAGTCTCGTAGGTCATCTGGAGGAAGCGGTTCTTACAGCTCTCGGTCAGCATCTGCTGCATGGCGGCTGAGAGACAGGGGATGGGCTGAGGAAGGGGCACTGCCCGGGGCGGCCTCGGAGGGTTCGCCTAGTCACCCACCGGATGGTCACCCTTCAAAGAAATCTTATTTTTAAACCATAAAAGTAACTTAAGTTTGAAAAATTAACTGTAAAACACTGAACAATACACACAGAATCTCCTATCCTCTGTCACCCAGAGATATTACCACTTTTGATACGTATTCTTCCAGTGAAATGTAAATGCATATTTGTAGATTTTTGAAAACGAAAATGAAAACACTGAAAGCAGAGACTTGAATAGATATGTGTGCAACCACATTCACAGCGGATTATTCACAATAGCCAGCAGGTGGAAACACCCAATGCCCACTGGCGGATGAACAGATTAACAAAATGTGATAGATCCACACAATATTATTCAGCCTTAAAGAGGAAGGAAATCCAGAGGGAAGCTGCGACATGAATGAACCTTGCGGACACGCTAAGTGAAAGAAGCCAGTCAACAAGAAGACAATGCTATGATCCCACTTATATGAAGCACCTAGCCCAGTGGTCGGCAAACTCATTAGTCAGCAGAGCCAAATATCAACAGTACGATGATTGAAATTTCTTTTGAGAGCCAAATATTTAAAACTTATGTCACTTCTTCAAAATAGACTGGCCCAGGCCGTGGTATTTTGTGGAAGAGCCACACTCAAGGGGCCAAAGAGCCGCATGTGGCTTGTGAGCCGCAGTTTGTGGACCAGGGACCTAGAGTAACCAGACTCAGAGAAGAGAGCAGGATGGTGGGTGCCGGGGGCTAGGGGAGGGGCAATGATGAGTTACTGAGTGGGTACAGAGTTTCAGTTTTGCAAGAGGAAAAGTCCTGGAGATGGGGATCGTAATGGCAACACTCTAATGTACTTAATATTACAGAACTATACAATTAAAAGTGGTTAAAATGGTAACTTTTACGTTGTATATATTTTACCACAATTAAAAAAAAATTAAAATGTTATCACACTAAATATACCACTTCTTATTTCTCATGAATACTTCCCCTTTCAAGGGGTCAACACTCAGCACCCTGTCTAGGTGACCAATAGAGCTATCTACCCCTGTCTCCCCAAACAGCCAGGCTCTGTGCCCAGGACCCCTCCCGCTCCCCACCCTGAGACTCACAGGCAATCTCACGTCTTCGCAGGTTCTCCGTCTCCTCCTGGGTTATGGACATCAACTGTTCCATTCTTATTCTAGAAAACAATCCGCCCATTTACTCAGCAAACATCACATTTCCAAGAGGACATCCCATCAGAAGAACAGCATCTCCTTCAGGAAGTCCTCCTTGATGCGTCACACCCTTCTCCCCTGGGGCCCTGTTCATAGAGTTTCTTGTATAAGAAGGTGGACATTCCCTTAGAAAAACAGGCAAAGGACACAAACAGCCACTTCACTGATGCTTGAATACAAGTGACCAATAAGCATATGGGAAGATGCTTAGCATCACTGTTAACTAAAGAAGTAAAATCTAGCTGGGACCGGTTTGGCTCAATGGATAGAGCGTCAGCTTGGGGACAGAAGGGCCCCGGGTTCGATTCCGGTCAAGGGCATATACCTTGGTTGTGGGCACATCCCCAGTAGGGGGTGTGCAAGAGGCAGCTGATCGATGACTCTCTCTCATTGATGTTTCGAACTCTCTCTCTCTCTCCCTTCCACTCTGTACAAAAATCAATAAAATATATTTAAAGAAGTAAAATCTTTTCAACTAGAGGACCGGCTGGGATTAGGGAAACTGACAACCATAGGTGATGGCAATGAAGGTGGCGAAATGGGCACTTTCACAGACGGGTGAGGAGAGTATATACACTGGCAAAATGTTTCTGGAAGGCAATTTGGCAATACCTATCCAATGTCCTCTGAGTATTTCCTTCAAAAATATTCACATACATGCATATAGAGATACTGAGGAGATGTTCACTGTAATAGTATTTGTAATTATGAAAAACCGGAAACAAATTCCCATGAACAGAGGGCTAATTAAATGAATTACATTATAACCATTTAGAGGACTACCCTATAGTTATTACAATAGGGTTGTTGGCATAGAAATACATCCATGAGACAATAAATGAAAATTAAAGTGTCGAATGCAAACTGTAATAAAAAAATAAATGAAAACATAAGAGGTATTACATGCATGTATGTGCATGCTGAAGTGTGTGCATCCCCCCCCCCCCCCACACACACACGCTAAACAGGTTAGAGTGGCTTGAAGGATGATCCATCATGTTTCTGCAAGTCCTGCTTCCCTGAAGAAGCGTGTCCTCTGAGCCCCCTGCCCTGCCCAGAACTGCAGGCTGCTCAGGGAAGCTGGCCCGGGCACCGTGGACCCCAGCCCCCACAGTGAGCATGTGCGCCAAGTAAACGATGCCACCCCCACAGCTCAGCTTGGCCTTGATCTCTCCTGGCTCCCGCAAGTACCATAGCTTCAGTGGGCGGGGTGATGGGGCTGCAGTGCCACCTGGAGGGAACTCCCTACGGGAAGTCTTCCCTAAGGTGTTTTGATGGCAAAATACCTGCTGCTGCCACTGGTCGGTTGTCTCCTTCTACGGGGCGACCGGCAGGGCAATTGGGGGTGGGGGGATTTGCTGGCATCTGTCTTGGTTGGCCTGGGGCCTGGAGGCAGCTCCTGCATTGAGCATCTGCCCCTGGTGGTCTGTGCACATCATAGCAACCGGTTGTTCCACCTGTCATTCCACTGTTCAGTCAATTTTCATATTGGGCTTTTATTATATAGGATACATTCTTATTCACATTTAAATTTTTGTCAGGAATGTGTTATAACAAACTTGCAGATAGTGGTGATTCTTTTTCATAATGTTTCCTAATGAGCTGAATCTCCTTATAGCTTTAGGAAAACTTCCTGGCATAATCTTTGAGAATCGTAAGACATTCTAACTCCAAAGCCAAAGCCACCTCCCCTTCCCCTTTCCCACCCCAGAAGGAAGGCCCTGCTGAGAAAAGCGCCAGAGCAGAAACTTACCTGTCATTTTCCAGTGACTTCAACATCTCTGAATTTTTCCTTTGTCTGTTGAGAAACCCACAAAAGGTCCCTGAAGCCATCACCAGCAGGCCTGATTCCCACATAACCACCCCTCACCTCACTGGGGGTGCAGAGGGGGCTTAGTGACTGGGTGGTGGTGGGGGTTAAGGGGGTGTCTTAGCCCCACCCCTGAGGGAGGGCTGAGGTCTCGGGACAGTTAACCACTGCAAGCCCCAGTTCCCCATCTGTGCCTTGAAACAATATTAAAAAACTAAACAAAACACTTCATGGAGTATTTGTAAAGAGTGAGTGAGGACATGGACATAAGTGGGCGGATGGCAGCTTTCTCGGACACCCTGGGGGGAGAGCACATGGAGCGGCCGACCCAGGATGGCAGAGGAGCCCGTGAGGAGCCAAAGGAAGCCTGGGAGCGACAGCAGGTGTGGCGGAAACCTGTTTCTGGACTCTTCTCTCAGGCTTCCGGAGGTCTCTGTCTGCCCCCCTTTCTCCCAAGTCCGGTCAAGGCCTGCGCTCAGCAGCTCCTACTTGGGCAGGATGGCTTAAAGCAGAGCGCCCAATGGGGTGAATGTTGACCTCAGCACTAGAGGTTACTTGAATCCTAAAGTATCTTGTTAAAGCCTCATTTACGATGGGCAACTGGGAGATGCGGGTCAGATCAGCCTTCTTAAGTTGGTGCAGAATGCGGCACCAAGACTGGATGCCAGTGATGGGGACCTGGGGAGGGGGAGAGCCTGTGCGGGAGAATGGACCCCTCTTTGTCTCCTCCCAGGGTTTCATGTGAGGATCGGGGCCCGACCTCTGATTGTCCTCCAGAAGCTTCTGGATCCGTTTGGAGATGTTCTGCTCTGTCTGCTTCAGCTGCTCCTGCAGCCGCTGACGCTCTCCATCGAGGTAGCGCTGGTGCTCACTGAGGCCGTGGTCCAGCCGGGACTGCTCCTGCGGCAGGCAGGCAGGGGTCCTGAGCAGCTGGGCCCCCTTCAGATGCCTTCATGCAGTGAGGGGCCCCAGAGTGGGCTCAGGGGAATGTCCCCATCCTGCCAGCCCTTTCCGTGCGACCTTGGACCAGGGTCCTCCCCTTGCATACAAGGAGGCTGGACCAGGTGCCGTCAAGGCCCCCCAGACCCTGGAGTATGGAGTGGGCAGCCAGAACCCATCCCACGGGGCCGCTCACGGACCTTCCTGACGGACTGGAGGATCTCGTCCTTCTGACTGTGGCTCTGCTGGAGGAGCTGGGCGTGCTCGCGCTGCCCCAGCTCCAGGCGCCGCTCAAACTCCAGCTTCTCCAGCATCTTCTGTTCCTGCAGGAATGGAGATGCTGGTGACTGCTGGCCAGGCTCTGCGGGCATCAGGACACGGGAACCCACCCCGAAACTCCAAATAGTTTAGGCCAGTCATCGGCAAACTCATTAGTCAACAGAGCCAAATATCAGTAATACACCAACTGAAATTTGAGAGCTGAAAACAGACTTCTGCGCATGGGCCACGAAGTTTCAATCGCACTGTACGTGCGCGCCCGCACACGGTGTTCTGTGGAGGAGCCACAATCAAGGGGCCAAAGAGCCGCATGTGGCTCACGAGCTGCGGTTTGCCGACCACTGGTGTAGGCTGTAGGTAGTAATGCTGAGTAACCCCTCAGGGCCCCCCTTGACTAGAACAGGCTGTTTGCTGGCAGGGGCCGGTGGTTTGGAGCTTGACCTTCAACTCACTGAGCCTCAGTCTTCTCATCTGTTAAGTGGGGACCCTCTACCACCTACCAACGCTGTGAGGAAAGCACTGCTTTACCCTCTCATTTAGAGGCAGGAAGGACTTGTTTTCTCAAGTCTTTTATAATTACTGAGGTCTTTAATGTGAAGAAAGGAGACAGAGGGCAAAAGGCATTTCCTTACCTTCCTCTTCTCATAGTCCGAGAACCTATTCTGGGGGGGGGGAAATACAGTGGTCAGAGCAGGTGGGCAGCCTGGCACCATTCAGATTCCCTGGCCCACCCCGGAGTACGCATCAGAAGGGGGGGGTGAGGACGAGGGGTGGGTGGTTCAGGGGACACCGAGGTTGAGAACCAGGGGCGGGGTACCCCGTAGGAAGGTCTTCAGGGCAGTGGTGGGTGCAGCTCTGAGAAGGTCCGGTGCTCAGAAAGGAAGACCCAGACTGGGCTAGCTGAGCCTTTGGGTGTCTGCACACAGGGACAGCACAGCTCTCGCCCACCCGCTCCCAGACACACAGGCGCTGCATACGCTCCTGCCGGAGGACTCAGAGTGACCGCCCTGGGAACAACTCAGATTCCGTTAACAGGTGACTTCTTCCGTGAACTGCAGCAATATCTCGGCTGCAATCTTCGTTTTATTTCGGTTTCTGGAACCGAACCCACAGACTCTCCGACGGGCGTCTGTATTCGTATGTGGGCCTGTGACACGGACCTGGGAGAGCCCCCTGCTGCTGGTGCTGACACGTGTGCCTGTCTGACTCCTTCCCCAAACTGAGCGTGAAGGTGCCCTGCATGGTGAGTGGCACTGAGGCAAGGACTGGCTGAGAGAGACATGAACACTACAGACTCGGTCGCCACTCACGAAGCTCCATCAGCAGGGCAGACAGACATGACACAAACTCTCCCAGGCAGTTCTTCCTTTAACTCAGAGCTGCGGTGAGTGCTCCCAAGGAGACAGATGGACGGGCCCTCTGAGGACACGGACGGGGGCTGGCCTGCCTGTGGGGAGGGCTTCTCAGAGGCTGTGAGGTTAAACAGAGAGCTGAAGGGTCAGGCTGAGTGAGCAGGGGAGGGCGAGTGGGGAGAGTCCCAGACAGACGGACGGGCAGAGCGGGGCACGGTGGGTGCGGCTGAGGCGTGGTGAGCTGGTGCAGACAGGGGTTGTGGTTGGCCTCGTGAGAGCAATCTAACCAAGCACGTCGGTCTGATGGAGGCGGATTTTAGTTTGATGGAGGAGTCTATGGCTGCAGCTCTGAGCATCCCCCCAATAGCCAGGGCCCTCTCTCCAGATGCCAGCGGGCAGGCACATCTTACCTGCCACTCTGCCTCCTCCCTGGAGAGTCTGTCCGAGGGCCCATCAGGGCTGTCCTGGGAGCTCTGGGCTCCATCTTGCTCCAGGACTGGCAGCAGGTACTGAGAAGGGGGGTAGTATTCCAGCCCTGACTCTGTAAGAGATGACACAGCTGACCAGGAGGGAGGAGGCAGCCCAGCTACCTGGAGTGGCCAGTGCCTGCTGTCCTTGCCTTCCTCCTTCCTCCTCAGCATCCTGTCACATCCCTACGTCAGGCCACTGCTCCTTTGCCCTTGACTGGGCCCTCATGTTGCTCACCAGTCCTAACGCCTGGCCCAGAATGTGGCCAGTGCTCAGTAACCTGCAGCTGGTACATACACAAGACCACCACCTGCCTCTTTACATCCAAGGAGAAATAAGATGAAAAGGAAGCCCGAGATTAGGAGTTGAAGGCTGAGTTCAAAACCTCACTGCACCCATGATTTCCTGTGTATGAGACCTTGGCCAAGATGCTTGCCTTCTCTGGCCCTGCAGTTTTCTACTGCATAATTTGTCTGTTTTTACTTGGTTGTTTATTTTTGCTGATTTGTAGGTGCTCTTTATATGTTATAGCTAATAACTTTGGGCCTATATGCTGCCACTATTTTCTTCTAGGTGGCAACTTTTCTTTTTAGCTTTGATGATGGTGCCCTATCCTTTTGAGATAAAGTAGCGTTAGATTTCAATGCAGTCAGCTACCCTCCCCCCAAGGATAAGTAGGCAGTTCACAAGAAATACTAAAACTGGGTGGTGCATACTCCTCCCAGGAATGTAACCTCGGGTAACCTGTTCAGAGGGCAATGTGGAGTTCCTGTCCACACCCTGTGCCAACCTCACTGATGCCTGAACCTAGAGGAACCTCATGCAGTGCCAGGCCAGAGGGTGTGGGTTAGTGGAAATAACTTGCAAGTTCACAACAAGGGCTCCACCATGTGAAATGCTCTACAGCAATTAAAAATGAGGCAGAGCCTGGCCGGAGTGGCTAAGTAGTTGAGTATCAACCTATGAACCATGAGGTCATAGTTCCATTTCCGATCAGGGAGTATGCCCGGGGTGGGCTCAATCCCAGCCTTCCCTCCATGGCCCTTTAACAAGCGCCTCTATCTGCAAGGAACACCCTTTTAAGTTTTAATCATCTCTCAGGTTTAAGGCCCTTAAACCAGACACCTGTCCACTGTACTCTCATAACCACAATATGTAATTACTAGAGGCCCAGTGCACAGATTCGTGCACCGGTGGGGTCCCTTGACCTGGCCTGCAGGGTTCAGGTTGAAACTGGCTCTCTGACATCCCCTGAGGGGTCCCGGATTGTGAGAGGGAATAGGCCAGGCCGAGAGACCCCACTGGTGCACAAATCCGTGCACCGGGTCTCTAGTACACATCTAAGATCTTTGGTTAATCTCTTCTCGCCCTCTCCCCTCCCCTCCTCTCTCTGAGATTTATCAGTCTGTTCCATGCCTGTGGTTTCTGCTCCTGCATTGAGTGTCTGCCCCCTGGTGGTGAATGCATGTCACAGCTACCAATCCACTAGTTGGCTAGTTGCTTAGTAGGCTTTTAAAAATGTAGATACTTCCTTGTGTGATGCTTGGCCCCTCTCTCCAGCTAGACTGTGGCCTCCTTGGTTTCTGCCGCCTCCCCAACCTGGGCTGGCACAGGGCAGCTGCCAGGGCCACGGGTGCTCACTGAGTGGAGGAGGAGGCTGCCTGGCCTTACCTTTGCAGAGGAACTGCTGGATGGCCTCTGTGCCTGCGCCACACACCTCCAGCGGCGGGAAGACCATAGACGAGGCGTCCAGGCTTAGGGTCTGTAGACACAAGGGAACCCTTTAGATGTCGTTCATGTCACTGCTCAACACAATGAAATCCCACTGGGTGCAGTTATGAACACGTGCTCACTATCTCCTCTGCCTCGCAGGGAGAGCTCACCTGCCTCGTTCCATCTGCAGTCCCAGCTCCTAGAACAGTGACTAGCATGCAGTACGCACTCAATTCATGTTTTTGGATAAAGACACGAATGAGCAAAACCAAGGAAGTTATAGGACAGCATAGAGAATAAGATTCCATTTTTGTAAAAATATATATACATATATTCCTATAGTCTTAGATTAGTATATTTATAGAAAAAAAATTTGGAGCGGTATATATCAGCCTCCAAGTGACCATGGGCCATGCGTGGCCACAAGCCATATATGGCCATTCATGTTTAAATTTTAATAGGTAAAATTTTTTTAGCTGGCCGGTGTGACTCTGTGAGTCTATGAACCAGAAGGTCATGGTTCAATTCCTGGTCAGGGCACATGCTCAGCTTGCAGGCTTGATCCCCACTAGGGGGCCTGCAGGAGGCAGCCGATCAATGATTCTCATCATTGATGTTTCTATCTCTGTCTCCCTCTCCCTTCTTCTCTGAAATCAACTAAAAATATATATTTTTTGGGGAAAATTTTTTAAATTGTGCCCTGACTGGGGATCAAACCCACAACCTTGGCGTATTGGGACAATGCTCTAACCAACTGAACTACTTGGCCAGGGCCAACTGATTAAAATGAAAGAGAATTTCAAGCTCAGTTCCTCAGTTGCACCAGCCACATGCTCAGTGCTCGATAGCCACAGGTGGCCAGCAGCTACTGTATTGGACAGCATAGACCATGGAACATTTCCGTCATCGGCAGGAGGAGAAGCGATTGGACAGCACTGAGTCACACAGCCCTGCTTTTAAAGGTTATTTATATTTTATTGATTTTTTTTTTTTTACAAAGAGAAAGGGAGAGAGATAGAGAGCTAGAAACGTCAATGAGAGAGAAACATCGACCAGCTGCTTCTTGCACACCCCCTACTGGGGATGTGCCCGCAGCCAATGTACATGCCCTTGACCGGAATCGAACCTGGGACCTTTCAGTCCGCAGACCGACGCTCTACCACTGAGCCAAACCGGTTTCGGCACAGCCCTGGTTTTAGGGATGTCGCCGGGGGCCAGCTCTGTAATCTGGAACGGGCCACATGACCTCCCTGGAGCCGAAGGTCCCTCAGAGTTAACAGGCACAATATCACCCCCCTGACAGGCTGTTAGGTGGGTAACAGGAGATAAGACGTGGAAAAGACTTTGGCTTCAACTAAGAATGGTTGCTGTTGTTTATTCTGAGAACACGTTTGTCCAAGGTGCCACCAAGAAGCCCAAAAGATTTTTGCTATAAATCAAACCACAACCGAAACCGGTTTGACTCAGTGGTAGAGCGTTGGTCTGTGGACTGAAAGGTCCCAGGTTCGATTCCGGTCAAGGGCATGTACCTTGGTTGCGGGCACATCCCCAGTAAGAGGTGTGCAAGAGGCACCTGGTCGATGTTTCTCTCTCATCGATGTTACTAGCTCTCTATCTTCCTCTCTGTAAAAAAATCAATAAAATATATTTAGCCGAAACCGGTTTGGCTCAGTGGATAGAACATCTGCCTGTGGTCTGAAAGGTCCCAGGTTCGATTCCAGTCAAGGGCACGTACTTTGGTTGTGGGCACATCCCCGGTGGGAGGTGTGCAGGAGGCAGCTGATCGATGTCTCTCTCTCTCATCGATGTTTCTAACTGTCTATCCCTCTCTCGCTTCCTCTCTGTGAAAAATCAATAAAATATATTTTTTTAAAAACTTAAAATATATATATATATTTAAAAAAATAAAAATAAATCAAACCATAGAGCTCTTACTGTCAGAATGGCTTTAGAATCAGGAACACTGCTCTGAGCTGTGCTTTCCAATAAGGTAGCAATTAAGCAACTGAGCACAGGTAGCCATTTAAATATAGATAAGTAAAATTCAATAAAATGAAGCATTTGGTTCCTTGGTCATACTAGCCACACGTCACTGAACATTTCCATCATCGCTGGAAGCACAGAGAATAAATGCCCGCGAGCTGGCCACTTCTCCAGCCTGCGCAGGGCGAGCCGCCTGCCCTTCCTAAGGCTGTCCACCATGGCAGCGGGGACCAGCCTGGGGTCAGTCACCTCCCTTTGCTGTCTCCATGCTCCTCACCCAGATGGCACCCAGACAGCAGTGTGGCTTGCGAGCCAGTTCACTGACAGACGATCAGAGGAGTCTGGGTGCCTGTCAGGGGAGTGTCATTGTGAATGGAGAAGTGCCTGCAGAGGGGCGGAGCCAGGCCCTGGATTCAGACTGCCTGGGTTTGATACCATCCTTGCTATTTATTCCTAGTTGTGTGGCCCTGGGGCAAGCTCCTTAGATGGTCCTGGGGCAAGCTCCCTTTCCTCTGCAAAGGGACACAACAGGGTTTCCTCTGAGGATTCAGAGAGCAAATGCAGGTCAAGTGCTGAGCTTTAGTAAGAACCTGGGATGCTCCTGCGACCCTCGTCTACACCCTCAGAGCTTCTTTCTCTTTCACGGTCTGGCTCGGATACCACCTCTTTCATAGCGTTAACCCCAGCAGGATTGGAAGTCATCTCTTCACTTCAGAAATAGGTTCCTAAGCCACCATCATGACAGCAAAGCCACGGAATTACAACTGTTCACACACTGGTCACTGCCAGCTCCCGAGGACCACGTGTTGAGATCTCCGTGACCCCAGCGCCCTGTGACCAGCACAGGCCCCAGCACCGGGCGCGGCGGGAGGGAGGCCGGCCAGTGAGAACCCCGGGGAGGAACGGCTCCACTGACCTCCAGGGTCCGCACGTGTGCCAGCGTCTGCGGCAGCCTCTGCAGCTCATTGTCACGGATGTCAAGGGTGCGCAGGCTCCGCAGTTCCCCCACGGTGTCCGGAAGCTCCTTCAGCTTGTTGTCTGGAGAGATCCCAATGGCACAGCTCAACACCCCAAAACCCTTTCCCCAGCTTCCTGGCTGACACCCACCAGGACTCGGGGGGCCAGGGAGGGGTTGCCTCACTCTGACTCTGACTGAGGCTCTGTGAGGAAGAACAGGACAGTGGGGTTTCAATGACCGGGGCTCAAGTTCCCACTGCACAGCTTCCTAGCTGGGTGACTTTGGAGAATCAGCTCTACCTTCCTGGGGCACAGTCTTCTCATCTGTAAAATGGGGTAATGGTACCATTTGGCCTCGTAGGAATATTGAGGGGTTCCATGAGATTATGCATGTGAGGTCCTCAGCACAGTGCCTATCACGTAGTAAGGGATCGGTAAATGGGGCGCCATTATTATTGTTGTTATCCATGCCACATCCAGGTAGACCGAGGCATTCCGTGCAGAGGGTGCTTACAGCAGGAGAAAGGAAAGGACTGGGGCAGGCACTCCACTGACGCAGCAGAGTCTTGGTTCTGTCATGATCACACTGGCTGGTCTTGAGCTGCACTTGCTTCATCTGTGCCTTGGGGATAACACCTCCTCCCTCTCCAGGCCTCTCGGACTGGCCCTGAGGCTCCCTGCGCCTCCGATCAATACAAGTGTCTCAGAGGCCTGTCTGTCAATGCTGTCTGTCCTCCTCCCATAAGGTCCCATCTATGGTTACCCTGGAGACAGACCGACCTAGCAGGAGGTCCGTCCAGTGTCCAGTGACACCTCAGACTGGCTGCCCTTATGCTCAGTGGCTCCAGGAGGATGCTGGCGGGGACAGAGATGACTGGGGGTCACACGGACAGGGCTTTTTGGTTCCTACCTTTCACATTGAGGGTCTGGAGCTGGGTCAGGTTCCCAATGGAACGTGGGAGATATGTCAATTGATTCTTTTCCAGGTTCAATACCTAAGAAAGGAAAAAACAATGAGACCCATCCTGCCTGGGTAGTTCAGTTGGTTGGAGCATCATCCCAATTGTACCGAGATTGTGGGTTAGGGTTCATATAAGAATCAACCAGTGGGTGCATGGATAAGAGGACCAACGAATAGATGTTTCTCTCTCTCTAAAATTCAATAAATAAAAATTAAAAAATAATTGAGATAAAACGATGAGATCTCACATATGGACAATAGTGACATCCTGCTTTGGGCCAGGAATCATTTGGGCACCACATACATACACCTTTACCTTCTCCCAACAGCCTTCTGATTATGATCCCAATTGAGAGATGAAAAAACTGAGGCTCGGACCAACGAATCCATGCGCCCAAGAGAGCGCAGCCAGACCCTGAACCCAGTTCTGGCTGAGGTTCCATCGTTTACACAGATCACAACATGCACAGCGACAGTCCCGCCACCAGGAAGGGAGGGAGGAGAGGACTGAGGCTCAGGGACCCAGGAGAGGCAGCTGGTGATCAGGCTCTCGTCATCCCAGGGTCAGGAAAGGAAGCTGAGCTGCATCATGCAGTGGCGTCTGCCCAGCCCCCAAGGCTGCCGCTCCGGCCGGGTCGGAACCTGGCTGGTTGGATTCCGAAGGCCGTGCTTCCTCCAGGATGCATTACGGAGGTGAACAAGGCCAGCAGGAAGACACACCATTAAACATGGACACCATGGAAAGCTAAGCCTCTTCTGGAAATAACATGGCAGATGAATATTTGATGAACCAAAGGAGGGTTATGAGTTAGAGGCAAGTATCCAAAAGTTACAAAAGAGTGAATGCAGCAATTCTATACAAACAAACGTGCCAACAATGTCCCCAAAGACCCTACACCAAGGCATTCACTAAGTGGTGCGATTACTTCTGCCACGTGTTCTGTGTGTGACTTCGGGCAGGTTATAGTCATCTCTCTGGGCAGTTCTCTCTTGTCTAAACGGTGGTGGCATCACCCACATCATAGGGCTGTTCATTCAAGTGGCGAGGTGAGGGTGTGGCCCCACAGGATGACACTTCAGCAGGGGAGCCGGGCAAGCCAACAGACCCCCTAATCAGTAATTACTCTGCAGTTGGCGCTCTCGGGGAATCCTCTGGGGTTGGCAGAGAGGCAATTAAGGTAGATCTACTTAGATGGGAGGTGGGGGCGGACCCTCAGGGACACGGGGGCTGAGAGCATGAGCCGCGCAGGCAGGAGGAAAGGCCCAGTGGAGAGGTGGGCAGAAGGCCAGAGGGTGTCAGGAGCTGACTGCAGGGAAGGAAGGGGAGGAGGCTGCAGACACGGGCCCCTCACAGAGGGTCTCACTGGGCTCAGAGCAGAGAAGGCATTTTAACCTAAGTGGGAAGGAAGCCGCTTCTTCCTCTGTAAAACGGGATCAGTCAGCACCTGCCTCTCGGGGAGGCTGACTGACAGACAACACAGGGAGAGGCTCAGCTGGGCCGGACGCAGCGAGCACTTGGTGGAGGGCTCCTGACAGCGACCGGAACGGAGCCCGAGTCAGTGCTGAGCTCAGCATCTGAAAAGGTGCACACGCTGGGCCCTCTTTTCCTGCAAAGTTGTGGAAGCTCATGATGAAATCCTCAACAGAACAAGCCCCAAAACACGGTGGGGGACAACCCAGACTGCACCAGCGAGGGCCTCCCGGGGTCTTCACAGCAAAGGGGCAGGGAGCCCGCCCGAGTGCCGCCTGTGGCGCTGCCATTGGTCACCTCGGCAGCAGAGGTGGGCTTTCTGTTCCTGGGGCCTTACTTGGAGGGCTGTCAGCTGCCCTAGATCCTCGGGAAGGGCTGTCAGCTGGTTCTCATGAAGATCCAGAACCTGCGGAGGAAGACAAGCTCAGCACCTGTGTGACCGACGGAGGCCGCCCCTCCCATCTCAGGTCCGAGAGGCAAGCGGCGCCTGGGCCTCTGCTGTTGGAGCAGCAGCGCCCAGCCTTTCCGTCCAACTAAGCCATCATCCCACCTCACTTCCTCTTCCAAAGTGTCATCCCCTTTCATCCGTCAAATATGCATTTTTACTATTGAGTGAAAAAAGTATGCAAAGACATTTATATGTGAAAGAGAAAAAAAGTCTTCATAGTATAAATATACATTTGCAAAGAAAATGACCACTAAACATGCAATAAAATATTGATAGTGGTTCTCTGGAGTATGAAATGACATGTTTTCCTCATTTTCTGCCTACTTCGCATTTGTTAATTTTGTTAACAATGAAAATGAGTATGAAAGACATATATACCAGTATGCATGCATATATGAAATGTAAGTACACATAAACATAAAAATTTAATGTTATCTCTTTCTGACTATAACCACATTGGACAATGAAGAGAAGCCAAAAGGACCCAGACTGCACACCAGAGTTAACCATAAAGACACCGGGGTGCCTGTGTGTGGGTCTTCTCCTGGTGTGTATACCCCCAGGCACAGCTGGTGGTGCTGGGCTCAATCCTGCAGCCACATCTCACGTACTGTGTGAGTACCACATCCCACCGCTGTGCTGACAGTCAGGAGGGATCGCCCAGGCCACCAGGCTTTCACACCCTGACCACATGACGCCTGGCATTGTCTTGTGCCAAGGGCCTGGGACCAGCAGTCTCCCTGCTCTCTGTAGTCGCTTGTTATGAGTCTGTGGTTTGTCTTTCCACCCAGCAGGCAAGCTCCCTGAGGGCAGGGCCTGTGGCTGGTTCTCTTGGTAATCCCACCCCACACCCAGCACGTGGAAGGTGCCCAGTAAACCATGCTGATCAAACGCCAGAGTGAATACTACATTGGGCCTGGCTGGCATAAACTCGAACATGGGTCGTGTGGCTGCCACCTGGAACTCCAGGCTACTAGACGTGCAATGAAGCATCGATAGTGGTTGTCCTGATGCCTGGGAGAGGGCCCCGTTACCTTGATGGTTATCAGACTTAGGAGGCTGCAGGATTTCGGAAGCAAGGAAGTGAGCTGATTGGTGTGGACAATCAACACCTGTGGGAAAGATTTCGGCATGGCTCCTTAGATTGAAGCTCATCAGGTGGGGAAGGCTGAGGGCAGGGGGGCTGGGCGGGGCAGGGTGGGGATGGGATGGGAATTTGATGACCTCAAGACCTGGAATTTCAAGGGTAAAAGGGACTTTAGAAGACCACATTTATCTTCCATTCTGGGAAGCCCCGCCCTGTTGTCCTGATCTCCGTGGGCTGCCACGATGACTAACAGTGGACACTTAGCCCGGGCTGTCACTTTAGCGAGGCATGGACTCCTTCGTGGATGCTTCCAGTGTCGATGAGCTCACTAATCTGTTGGTACGGAACACTCCTCACCTACCTTCAGCTAGATAATTTACTTAGATTACGCTGATCCAGCTGCATTCAAAGCTGCAAAGACGTTCTGAACCATCATTCATTACACGTTTAATCTCCCCAGTGACCAGGAACAAGCAAACGTAGTGTTCATCATTAATAACAATGAGGTCACGCAGGGTTTTCCCGTGGCGGGCATCGCACTGGGTGCATTTGGATCTCTGTCTCTACTCGTCCCTCATTCCATTCTCACTAAGCTCTGTGAGAGGAAAGCTGTGGACGTGTTTGCTTCAGAGGTGAGGAAACCCAGATGGAAGAGTTTAAGGAAGTTGCCCAATCCCGAGGGGCAGAGCCAGGGCGTGACCTGGGGCCGTCCAATGCCAAAGCCGACTCTCCCAGCTGTGAACAGCCTGCTGCAGGCTGGAAAGGTGCGAATCGGAGAGAAGGGAGATGCCAGGAAGAGAGTCCTAAAGGTCCCACCGGATTGCAATAAACATGCAGTAAAGTCTCTAAAACGGGTTGGCTCACCTTCTTCTGTAGAACTTTGCATGTTGCAAAAGCCCCAAATGGAATCTAAGATGAATAAAAGACGAGTTAGTATCTCCCCTCCCTTGGTTTGTAATTTGTTTTCCGAGTGCCAGGGAGAGACGGGGCAGCAGGCACACAGAGCACAATGCAGACGGGATGGCTCAGCCCAGGGAAAGGCTGGTGAGGAATGTGGCTTGGGGTGTGATCAGCCCTCCAGAGCAGCTGGCAGGAGACTGCCCTGCCTGGCCCACCTACCCCGTCCCCATCGTCAGCTCTATCAGGGGCAAAACAAAGGTCTCTGGCGCTTTGCAGGGTCTAGAGAAACCCAAGTTCTCCTAAAAATCTGTGGTACATTTTCTAAGGAGAGACTGACTCTTTTTTATTTTATTTTATATTTTATTGATTTTTTTTTACAGAGAGGAAGGGAGAGGGATAGAGTTAAAAACATAATTGAGAGAGAAACACCGGCCAGCTGCCTCCTGCATACTTCCCACTGGGGATGTGCCCGCAACCAAGGTACGTGCCCTTGACCGAAATCAAACCTGGGACCCCGCCCCCAGTCCACAGGCCAACGCTCCATCCACTGAGCCACACCGGCTTCAGCTGGGCTCTGACTCTTGAAGACTATGCTCAGGCCAAAGCTCACGTTCATTCTTTTGGACAGAAACAACATCTAAGGAAACATCTCTGCACGAGGGCTTCCGGACTTCTGAAAGCCCAGTCCAGGGAGAGATCAGCCAAAGGACTTGGATGCATGCATGTGAGCCTAACCAACGGACACAGACACCAGGGAGGTGAGGGCATGAGTGTGGGTGTGAGGGAGCAATGAGGGGAGAAGGACACATATGTAATACCTTAATCAATAAAGAAATTAAAAAAAAGGAGAAAGCCCCAGTCCACATCTGTCTTTCCCAGAGACAGGTGATTCAAGGCAAAACAGATCAAATTCACAACCAGAGCACCACCCCGATTTACCTCGGAGAGCTCACATTTAGAGATGTCCAGAATGTCATCTGCCCCCGCTTCTTTTGCCTAAGGATAAAAATAATTTTTATGTTTCCAACAAAACATGCTTGCAAAGTGGACCCACCAGGGTTGAGGATCTGCGAGGGACCATGGACGGCATGTGGTTCAACTAGTCCAGTCCATCCCGTAGGTGGACCCATGCTCCCTGCCTTCAAGGGGCTCCAGGGCCGGCAGAGAAGAGCAAACGAACAAGAACTGACAGGTGCGCCCAGTCCGTGCGGGAGGCACAGGGCGCTCCTGGGCACCTGGCGGGCAGCCTCCCCCTCCTCCTAGGTCACAGGTTTCCTCCGGGCCTGGGGGAGGCTGAGGGGAGGGAGCACGGCTTGCGGGGAGGGGGGGACAGTGCAGAGCTCTGCTTCATGGGGCAGAGGCGGCGACGGGGAGGGACTCAGAGGAAGCCCACGTTCCCTCACCAGGCACATCTGGTACTCCAGGCGTTTCCGAGCCTCCTCGCTGGGTTTCCGCTTCCGGAAGAAGAGCGGCATCCTTCCTGTCCCCCGAGCAAGCTTCACGGCACTGCGGCGTTGGAGAAAACGGGGCGCCTGTCACCGCCTCTCAGTACGAGGGCAGGTGCTGCGCCCTCTCCGCCATCCCTCTGTGGCCCGAGCCAGGCATGGCAGGCGCGCCATACCCTCTGCTGACTAGACCAGTGGTCGGCCAACTCATGAGTCATCAGTGCAAAATATCGACAGTACGATGGGAATTTCTTTTGAGAGCCCAATTTTTTTTAACTGAAACTTCTTTTAACGCCACTTCTTCAAAATAGGCTCGACCAGGCCGTGGTATTTTGTGGAAGAGCCCCACTCATGGGGCCAAAGAGCCACATGTGGCTCTCGAGCCGCAATCCGCCGACCACTGGACTAGACAATAAGCAGCAGTGAGTATGTGGTGGAAAGAGCATCATGGCAAGCCAGGCGACCAGGGTTGGGGCCCACGTTTGCCACCGGCATGCCTCTGTCCCATTCTAGATTCCCACCTTCCACAAGGGTGGGACCTCCAGAAGGTCCCTCGGGTCCTTTGTAAGGGTGCTCCCTGAGGACTCCGACAGATTTGCCTGATGAATCCCTTCTAGCCGGGGAAACACCGTGAGAGAGGCAACAGCACATCAAACATGGCATGAATCAGCCAGCCGCGACCTCGGGGAGCTCAACTGCACCATCACCAGAGAGATTTTTAAAACAGAAACTCAAAAGCAATTCTCAGGCACCTTGCCACTCTCAGTTATGATTCCACTTGATTCTCTCCACAGCCCTGTATATGGTGATGGAACTGATGATTATGGAGTTCAGTGACCTGGTGATTCAGCCTGGATTGTAGCAAAACCAGTCTGGAATTCTGCTCTTGGGTCCCTATCCTGCAGATTTGCCCAGCTCTCCAGTGCTGGAATAACTCAGCACACACACAGTACACTGCTCTGATCTCAGAAGCCGGGAGCTCACTGCCTGCCCAGGATCTGTAAATATCGACGTGAATTGGGTCAGGAAGCAAGCATCCAGGGAAGCTACGGTTAACAGCATGAGCTTTGGGGTGAAATAAAACGGGGTCGGAATCCCAGATCTAACACCCACCAACCACGTCACCTCTCTGAGCCTCAGTTTCCTCTTTTGTAAGGTGTGATAATGTTACCAACATCCGGTCCTATGAGAATCCAATGATTGCATGTATGTAAAGCCCATAGCACAGTACCTGCCACATATGAGTGCTCAATACATAAATGTTGGCCACACAGGACCACACTTATTCAGGGCCTCCTACAATTTAAAGGGCTAGACACACACCCAGACCGGGGATCCGGTGTAGTGGGGGTGGGAGGAGAGGAGAGATCACCGGTCTCTGCCCACAGGGGTGTGAGCTGTCTGGGGAGCGGGCCAAGACTGCAGAGCTGGCTCAGGCCCCTCTTGTCACCCCATCTGCCTGCAGGGATGAGGAATAGTCCCAAAACAACCCTCCCTCATCCTTCCCTGATGACCAGGTCTTACCTTTTATGGTCCCCAATGACAAACCTCTTTCACCACCTCCCCCCAAATGACCATCCCTCCCAGATCCGCTCTTCCTAACCTGCTCTCCCGGATGTACATGCCTCATCCATCCCCTCCCCCGACGTCCAGTCGAGATCGAGAGAACCACACCCATCTTCCCCCAATGGCATCGGGGAGTGCCCCACCTGGCTTTGCGGGTGGACAGGTCCCGACGTTCCTTCCGCGGGTGAACCCGAAGGCAGGCCGATCACTCGTGGGGCTTGGTCATGGACGCTGGGCCGCAGACCACCTGGCAGAGGCCCGGGTGGATGCGGAGACTGGTCTCCCCCGAACGCTGGAGCTGGGGAGCGAAACTCAGAATCTCAGAAAGTCATGCAGACCAGGATGACGAAGTCTGGGACTCCGAGAACCGCAGCATTTTTGGAATTCAGAGTTCGAACGGCTCTGGGCGCGAACGGAATTGTTTTGATAACTAAAATGCACACATCGCGAGGGAGTTAAAAGGGGGGCCGGGGTCGCCGTGGCCCTGGGGTCCCAGAATGTGTGCGGACCTCTCCGGAGTGGGGGCGGAGCTCGGGATTAGGAGACAGGGACCAAGAGGGGTGATCCTCATCACAAGGGAAAATGGGGGACAGGAGGACCGGGATCTTGGGAGCTGCCCTCTCTTGTCTGCCTCCCTTGAGTGAACTGCCCTGAGCCCCCTTCCAAGCACCCAGTCACATCTTACCGGGCGCCAGGTTCGCCAATTGTCAGCTTCTGGCGCCTGCCCACAAGCAACATGGCGGCAAGGGCGTCGCTGGGAGGCTGGTCGGAAGGGGCGGGTCTCGCGACGGGAGGAGAAGACAGTTCTCGCGAGAGCTGTGCTTTCCGGCCTATATCCGGCGCAGCTGAAAGGCCTTCCGGTCTTTCGGCTTTCGGCTCGGAGGAGGCTCAGGTGCAACTTTCCTCGGTCGTCCCGAATCCGGGTTCATCCGACACCAGCTGCCTCCACCATGCCGCCGAAGTTCGACCCCAACGAGATCAAAGTCGGTGCGTGTTTTAGGGGCGGCCGGGGCTGCGGGAAAGCGTCCGTTTTCCTCGCAGCCCGTCGGGCCCGCGGCCCCTCCGCAATTACTCCTTTTACCGCCTGGCGCTTTTAAGCCGCTGCCTGCTAGAGGCCTTTCCGGAGCCGGGTTCAGGGCGCCGTGAAGTCCGAGCCAAGCTCGTTCTGGGCCTCAGCTTCCCCGCGTGCAAATGGGGAGGGAGGACCGGAGCGCCTCTGGCGTGCTGCCGCCCGCACGCTTAGGGTAAGGTTCGTCCCCGGCGCTTTCCCCGGTAGACGGGGTCGGCTGCCAGTCCGGGTGCCTCCACGCCGGTCCCGGGGTGGGCCGCCCACGCCCCAGGAGGGGTTGCCCGCCTCGCTCGGCCCCGAGGTTCTCGGTGCTGTTGGCAGAAGAGGCGAATGCGGCGTGGCCCGCCCGGAGCGATGTGGGGAAGGTGAGGGCTGAGGCTGGGACTCCGCAGATGCACTTACCGGCCTTTTTTTTCCTCCCCTCCCAGTATACCTGAGGTGCACCGGTGGGGAAGTGGGTGCCACGTCTGCCCTGGCCCCCAAGATCGGCCCCCTGGGCCTGGTAAGTCCTCGCGGTGGGGCGTTTCTGACTTGGGAGCAGTTGGGCACTCCCTGTCACAGCTGTGCCTGAGGTGCCAATGGCGCTGGCGATTTCCATCCCCGAGCAGACCTCTGGGGCACGGATTGCCAGGAGGTGCGTTAGAAAGGTTATCTCTGAGCACAGAGCCCAGTCCCTGGAAGCGGTGACTTCCTGTCCACTGCCTCCTGACCGCTGTGGGAGTGGACCTGAGGGGAGGCTGGGAGGGCCACGTGAGGGCTTTGTAGTTAGGTGGATTAGTGACTTTTAGCCTGTTTTTATTGATTTCAGAGAGGAAGAGCGAGGGAGAGAAACATCAGTGATGAGAGATACGTTGATTGGCTGCCTCCTGCACATCCCATGCTGGGGATTGAGCCCACAGCCTAGGCATGTGCCCTTGACCTGAAGGAACCCAGGACATTTTAGACCACAGGCTGGTGCTCTGTCTGCTGAGCCACACTAGTGAACTTAGCCTATGTTTCCCAGTTCGGGAGATGGGCATATCTCTGTTTGGAGGCTTTGCTGGGATGCCGGGTGAAGATTCTGGTGAACATGATAATAGTTTGTGTTTCCTATTCTCCAAACTGACTGGTTAATATGACCGGCTTTACTTACAAAACGACCAGTCTTATTTCCCTACTCCCATTTTACTGCAGTTGGATTGCCCCAAATATCATGAGGTCACTTTTCCCAAGTATCCTCCCACCTTGGTCTTGCTTAATCAGTGTCGTCTTTAATCTTTTACTATTGAAAGTATTACATATGTCCCTTTTCCCCCATTGTCTGTGCCCACTGGTTATGCTTATATGCACACATTACCCAGTGTCTTAATACCCTTATTGGCCCTTAGCTCTGCTGTCATGTTTCCTAGTGGTTACTAGGAAATTCTAAAGTAGCAAATCCGCCGGGACCGGTTTGGCTCAATGGATAGAGCGTCGGCTTGGGGACTGAAAGGTCCCGGGTTCGATTCCGGTCAAGGGCATGTACCTTGGTTGCGGGCATGTCCCCAGTAGGGGGTGTGCAAGAGGCAGCTGATCGATGACTCTCTCATCGATGTTTCTGACTCTCTATCTCCCTTCCTCTCTGTATAAAATCAATAAAATATATTTAAAAAAAAAATAAAGTAGCAAATCCCAGACCTCCATCCCCATAGATTGACTTGGGTTGGCCTGACACAGAAACCGGATACCTTGAAAGGTCTCCATAGGATCTGAATGTAACCAATGTGGCAATTTTCTCCCTAAGTTATCACGGGGGTCCTTCTGAGAGGGTGGGTAGGTAATTTTGGCCCACTGTGGTCCTTGGCTTGTAGCTTACAACCCTGAACAAACCTCACCCTAGCTTAATGTTCCCAGTTTATTCAAGGCTGAGAGCTTTGCCTTGATTGGGTAAATACAGTTGTGTGCTCTATAAGGAGGATTTGCGGTATTGGCAAGTTAGGAAGACTGGATAGGATTTCAGGACCCTTAAAGTTGAGGCATAATATGATTTCATGACTTTTATTTTTACAGTCCCCGAAGAAGGTTGGTGATGACATCGCCAAAGCAACTGGTGATTGGAAGGGTCTGAGGATTACAGTGAAACTGACCATTCAGAACAGACAGGCCCAGGTACTTGGTTTGAGGGTGGGCAGGGGTAGCTACCCTCCGGGATTTCTGGGTAGAAGGTTTTGCTGACATGGCCACCTGCCATTAGTGGTGAGAGCACTTTTATGTGTGGGGAAAGCTTTCCCCAAGAGCAAGGTCAGACTTGCTCAGATAATAACTCTTGTCACAGTGTGACATTTGCAAACACCTCAATGCCTCCTTGGCTAGAAGGTGTTTGGATTTTGAAAATTACTTGAGAATGGACCACAAGTCCAGTGTCTGCTCGATGGTCTCCAAGAAACCAAGCTGAGAGGCAGTATCGTCTGCATTGGAGGTTGGGGTAGGGCTTACTCATCGAGAATCTCTTCTGCAGATTGAAGTGGTGCCTTCTGCCTCTGCCCTGATCATCAAAGCCCTCAAAGAACCTCCAAGAGACAGAAAGAAGCAAAAAAACAGTGAGTGGCTTTTCTGTCACTGAGCAGTTTGTGAGTGGTGATGTCTGCATAACGCTTAACACTGAGCTGCATGCTTTTTAATGAGAACTAGAGATTTGATGGCAGCCTGCTACATAGCCAGGCAGTATCATGAAGTGCCATTTGGGGTGAAACAACTGAGAAGGATGACTGAAGAGAGCGCTTCTCAGCTGGGTTTCACTCTGAATGGATGAACCCCAGTCACTGAAGCTTGCCTGTTCTCAGCTTTGAAACAGGCACACATGAAGATGGGTACAGGTTTGGTTTTGCCATTAGCCACCCGCCACTGCACCTGACCACTCTCCCGTTGGCTGGTGCATTCCAGTGGTGAGCTGAAAGGAAACCCCAGCTTAGGAAACAGGGTTATTCTTCATGTGGATGACTCTGTGCCGAAAGCATGGGGACAACCAGGAAATGGCTGAGGGAGGCCATTGTGGTCTGGCCTGGCTTTGGGTGTGACGAAGCTTTTGCTGTGTTTTCTTTTCTCTGCAGTTAAGCACAGTGGAAATATCACATTCGATGAGATTGTCAGCATTGCCCGACAGATGCGGCACCGATCTTTAGCTAGAGAACTCTCTGGTAAGAGCAGGAGGACATGGAACCACCTAGTGACATGGGGCATATTCACCGAGTGGCAGCTTTTTCCTATTTTAAAGGAAACAGTTCTTTAAGACCCAACATTTGGGGCGTAGTCTTTTCTGGGTTTGAAAAATGTGGCTTAATCAAGGTGATTTGGGACCAGATGTATTTAATCTGGGTCCAGATGTATTTAATCAAGGGTCCCATTGAGACTTGGCATTCAGGCCTTGCATAACTAACTGAGAGCTCTCAGGAGAGTTGGGGGTGTTTATTTCCGATACCTTGTGACACTGTCTGCTGTGGAACTCAAATGGGTGTTCCCAGTGGTGTGTGAGGATTGTGAGGGGCTGGCGTTTCCCACCTAATGCCACATTTTCTTTAATTGTAGGAACCATTAAAGAGATCCTAGGGACTGCCCAGTCTGTGGGGTGCAATGTTGATGGCCGCCACCCTCATGACATCATAGATGATATCAACAGTGGTGCCGTGGAATGTCCGGCTGTAAGTGACTTCTGTATTTTGTTTGCTTAAAATCAACCAGGGTGAGAGCTGGAGAGTTTTAGAATTGGTCAGCAGTGGGGTTGAGGAGACTTTTTCCATATCACTGATAGGATTTCTTTCTTCTTTCCTACAGAGTTAAGAACTACAAAGGAAAAGAACTCAAATAAAGATCATTTTGACAAGCAGTGACTTTTCTATGTGGCCTCTCCTTGGGGAGCTAGGTTCTTTGTGTCAGGTGGTTATAGCGGGACCAAGTGGGGAACCTGTGGAAGCACCAATCTGGCATCTGTGATCTCGGCAGCAGCAGGTTTCTGCCCTCTGTGCCTGCAGCTCTCATGAAAGACGTCTCAGCATTTCTGTAGACAGTCCGGGAGCTCGTCATGAGAAATAGTTCTTGGCCAGAGGAAAGCTTGTAGTGCAGCCTAACTGCAGGGTGATGCGTTCTGCATCTTAGACCTAATCATTTGGTGGGTTGGGGCGCAGGGCCTCCAAATCTAGACTTGGATATCCATTCCAGCACACAGCTGGGGTTAACTGATTGGTCAACAGAGAAACCTGACCTGTGTCCTTGGTTGATCTGAGTTTATGTGAGAGTCAAGTATACTTCTAAAGGTTAGCTACAGCCTAGTCCTGACATTCTCTTGGCTTTAAGCCATAGCAGATGATAATCTGTTTTCACCTTTTTTTCCTCATTATCCCTTGGTTGCTTTTAATCACCTTTAGAGCTTATCACTCACTTTTCCTTTAATGGACGTGCAGTGCATGGCCACCTGGGCATTGACATAAGCTACACCACCTGCGGATGATTAACCCAAGAGCTTTTGTCAGCAGCCCTTTTAGCAGGTGGTTTTTAGTCCCTCCAGGTGCAGTCAGGATTGGAGAAGACACTATCTTTAGTGGAAAGTGAGGGAAAATAAGGGGTGAGAATAGTTGACACAAGCTTCCCTTACAGCAGGCAGCCAGTACTGTGAAATCTGTCCCTGAAGTCAAACACATACCTAACCAGAAACCAGGGAGAGCACACAGTGGTTTGTAACTGCTGAGATGAGGTCACACCATTGGCGGCAATAGGACCCAGGTGGGTGCAAAGTGGAAAAGCAAAGGGAACTGTCCTCCAGTGGGGAAAGCAGGGCTAAGCCACTTGCCTCTGCCCCAGGGAGAGCATGGCTTCAGGGGCTGCCTCATGGAGAGATTTCAGTAACTTAGCCCCCAGACACCTCAGCTTCTATCTTTCCAAGACCTAACAGCTGAGACAAGCGCTATGTCTTTTCCTAGAGTGGAAATTGTGAATAGCACCTGGGTGTAGGTTTTTTTTTTTTAATATTGATTTCAGAGAGGGACAGGGAGAAAGAATCATCACTGATGGGATGGACTGGCTGCCTCCTGCACTACCCCCCACTGGGGATCTGGCCTATAGTAGGAGCATTTGCACTTGACCAGAATATTACTTTGGACCCTTCAGTCTACAGGCTGACCCTCTATCCACTGAGCCAAACCAGCCAGGGCTGTAGGTTTACATATATCTGGCATTAAGACATGAATCCTTCATCACATACCCTCAATGAAATTGTAGCATTAAATGATTGGCCCTAGAATCTTCCCTACTTGAATTTACTTTCTCAAATCAGATACTTTGACCCCATTATAGAGAACTGCTCTTTCCTGGCCAGAATTCTTGGTTCTTTTGCTTTCTTGCAAGTCATTCAAGGAGGGATCACCATTGCTGAAATACCAGGCATTTAAGTAGGAACCAAGTCTTCCCATTGATTCGATCATACCTTTATAAACAAGGTTTTTGGAATGCTTGGTATAAAGAAAACAACCCTTAGGCCCATTGAATATAGGTAAGTAGTAATCTGAGTTGGGTTATGTAATTGACAAAGTTCTTCAGACCTAATTGAAAGTCAATAAAGGTATAAATGGGGATCTGCTCACCCTGGAAGCCAGGAGCTGCAGCTGAGGCAAGACCATTGTGTAGAGCAGGTTCCCCTTCACCTGGCGGATCTCCATGGAGGGGGTGGGTGAAGGCCAGGAGGAACGGGATAGCACGGACTGCAAGCTAGTAGGGTGTCAGCTCAGTGCGAATGCGGGCCCCCCTGTCCCTCACTTCCCAAAAGCTCCCGCCTCTCCCAGCGCTCAGGCCTCTCCATGGGGCCTGAGCCTCCCTTGGTGGCCTCGCTGTGCATCTGGTAGGGGGCGCTGTCTCCTTACCGTCTTCCCTCCAGTGCTGGAACCCCATCTTCCAGAGGCTGTGCCCAGGCCCTGGGAGACCCCCCTACTGTCCACACCACAGCTGGCATGTTCTACCACACATGGCCTTGGTGCCACCTCTCGCAGGTGACATCCAGGGTGTGGCTCAACCTGAGAGCCAGCTCAGCCCTCCCTGCCTCTTTACCACATCCACCTGCCATTGGCCAGCATTCCTGCCTGTTTACACCGACTTGTCTTTGGCAGTCATCACGGCCTCTTTACCACACCCATCTGTTTTTTGCCAGTCTTCATGCCTCTACCACACCCATCATTGGCCAGCCAGGTCCTCAGGTGTCTGGGTGGCTCCCCTGCTGTCCCGCTGTTTCTACAAGGCCCACCTCTCGGTAAATGCTTTTGTTCGGAGGAAAACAGGACTAACTTGGCTTGAATCTGACGCTCCCCTGGGGAAGGTGGCCAGCTGTAGGTCTTGAACCCCGTACATAGGCACTGCCATGCATGAGTGATGTCCCAGTGACAAAAAGCCCCGAGATTCTGTGGTTTTAGACTTCCAAGCTTGGAAACCATAGGAATGGGAGCAGGAAGCGCGTGACTTCCCCTCCTCCACGGAGGCAAGGTGCTGGGTCTGCATCTGCCCTTGCCTGTTAGGAAAGGGGAGTGGGGCCCAGAAACAAAAGGCTGCTAAAAGCTGAGATTGACTTGATCTCAAAGGGTCATGTGCTCGGAACTGGAGGAACGCGGAGACAACAGTCCGAAAAGGGGAACAGAAACACCTGAGAACCCTCCTCACAGACTCAAGGCGATTAGCCGGAAGCTGCAGGTCTGTGACTGGCCTGGCCAGGTCTGGGGCCGCACGAAGGGAAGATGCAGGGAGAGACTTGCTTACCGACCGCGTGCGGAGCCTGGTTCCAACAGAACTGGAAATCGGATGCACGCGGTTGAACCAAAAAAGAGCCCCCATTAAATGGACACACTTTTTTATAGACGCAACTGTCTGCAACAAAACAATGGGGACTCATTATTGTTAGAGACAACCCTGAGATGACTGTGATTGGATACATGAAAAGCAGACACAGGAATAGCACTCCAAATGCTGGTGCGGATATTGTCCCAAGGCCAGATTCCCTGGGCAGCACTGATTCTTAGGGAGACTTTTCCCAGGAGCCAGGCTCTGAGCTGTGAAAACACGACCCCACTGGATCTGTATGGTCCTCTGAAGTGTATGCTATGATTACTCCCATTTTACAGAGGAGAAAATTGAGGCGAGGAGAGGTGAAATACTAGGATACCAGTTAATAATGTGGATTTTCCCCCCCAGTTTTTTTCAATAGATTTTTTTCAATATGTTGGTATATATACCATTTGATATGTATGCTATTTTGTGGTATTGACAGCAAGCTTCAAAACTTCATATATCAAATTTGCTGAAGGTGTTACATTATAGAAATTTTTAGGCTTAAACATGAATTTCATGCCAAAAAAAAGCATTTGCTGGAAGATTTAATTCATTATTTTGAAGAAAAGTGCTGCTGAATACTTCGGGAAGCTTATGGTGAACATGTTCCACTAAAGATACTTGTGATGGTTTAAATGTGATGATTTTAATGTAAAAGACAAAGAACATCCAGATCAACTGAAAAAAAGTTTGAAGACCAACAATTACAGGTATTATTGGATGAAGATGCATGTCAAACTCAAAAACAATTTGCAGAAAGGTTAAACATTGTTCAGCAAACAATTTCTGATTGTTTATAAGCAATGGGAAAGATCTTAAAGGAAAATCAACTGAATAAAATACAAGTGGAAAACTGAAAAGTCGTCAGTAAAATGTTGTTTCAACAGCACAAAAGAAAGTTTTTTTGCATTGAATTGTGACGGGCGATGAAAAGTGTATTTATTTTGAGAATCCCAAATGCACAAAATCTGGGGTTGATCCAGATCAACCATCAACATCGACTGCAAGGCCAAATCGCTTTGGAAAGAAGACAATGCTCTGCATTTGGTGGGATCAGGAAGGTGTGGTGTATTATGAGCTTCTACAACCAGGTGAAACCCTTAATACTGATCACAACTGACAACAAATAATCATTATGAACCACACTTTGATTGTGAAAGGACCAGAATGTGCCAGAAGACATGGCAAAGTAATTTTGCTTCATGATAACGCACCATCACACACTTCAAAACTAGTTAAAGACGCGTTAAAAGATCTTGCCTGGGAAATATTAACCCACCTGCCATATTCACCAGATTTTTTTTTAAAATATATATTTTATTGATTTTTACACACAGGGGAATTGAGAGGGATAGAGAGTTAGAAACGTCGATGAGAGAGATACATCGACCAGCTGCCTCTTGCACCCCCCCCACTGGGGATGTGCCCGCAACCCAGGTACTTGCCCTTGACGGGAATCGAACCCGGGACCCCTCAGTCCGCAGGCCAACGCTCTTATCCACTGAGCCAAACCGGTCTCAGCAATATTCACCAGATCTTGCTCCTTCAAATTACCACTTGTTCCAGTCCATGGCACACACACTTTCTGAGCAGCACTTCAAAACATACAAAGAAGTAGAAAATTGGGTCTCTGAATGGTTTCCCTCAAAACAAGAAAAGTTCTATTGGGACGGTACCCACAGATTACCTGAAAGATGGGGGAAATATGTAGCTAGCCATGGACATTACTTTGAATAAAGCACTTTTGATATTTCTCTTGAAATTATCGTGTTTTATTTTATTACAAAATCAGCCATTATTATTATTTTTAAATATATATTTTATTGATTTTTTTTAC